TAACCCTGACAAAATCACACGTACGAATGTAGACATCATAATTAACGTTTAAAACAATTGGATCATCTTTTTGATAAACTTGATAAACTGATGTTTTACTTATTTTTAAATCACTCTGGATTTATCTCAATCGCTAAATGGGCTTCAAAATTTAGGACGTTTGCGTCACTGACGGGTCCTAGAAGGACGAAAAATTGTATGGTGCAGTATAATTCTTGTAGCGTTTGAGAAAATCCGGAATATTTGTGATAAAAATTTCAGATTTTATCTTATATGCATAATTGTTCAGCAACATTATATAAAAATTATTTCTTAGTATTGATGCCTTGAGGAAGTAGAAATTTTTATTTAATAGAATTGACTCGTCATTAATATTTTAAAGGGACTAAACGGATAGATATCTGTTTCATAACTGATAAAAAAAGTATTATATCATTTAAATACCTGTTAAAATAGTGTACTTTCTGTTAGATATGATGTTTTTAAAATTTGTATAACCAATTTATTAACAACGTCAATTAATCAAAATAAACGACCCAATGCTAATTCATATCATTATCGTCTTTTTAGAGAGTGTAAAAAATGTGTTTGCGCGTGCAATTTTATATCCATATTAATTCGAATTCATTTATTTCGCTCATGGCGTGAAACAAGATGTAATTTTACAAATTAAGAATTGAAACATTGTTGGCTAATTAAGTTTTACATAATTGTACATATTAAGAAATCCTCAAAACGACGGGTTAAAACGAGGCTCCGAAAGGTCGCGTGATGAAATCAACTATCTCCGATCAAATCAGCGATTTGTAGTAGACACAACAGCGAGTGTCGACTAGCGTTAGTTTGAAGCTGGTGATCTTTATCAATTTCTCCCAGAGAGTGCTATAATTTTGCAAGAGTCTAATTTTAAGTATTGCAATGCTTGCTTGAAATCAAACGCACGGGAAGAAATAACCATTAACCCCCTTCAAATATTTTTTTTATTTTTTACTATATATTTCTTTAATAATTTCTGCTATGAAAATTTTCTGAACCACTCAGAAATGCCATTGATCTGACATGTAAATTTATCTGTAAAATGTTAAAAGGGATGTTCAAAATATTTTTTGAAATGTTAAATGAACACCTATTGTCCAAATTCTAACAGAAATTTGATTTATCCCTTCATACCTTGCACAACAAGGGGTTAGGTTGGCCTTGCGAAGTCTTGATCTACAATGTGAGGATGTCACCTGTGTATAAAGATTCCTTCTTATTCTCAACTGTGGCATTTTGTTGATAAATGTATCTAGTGGCAGAAAAACATTTCCGTTTATTTCTATCTATGTCTATTCCTGTTAAGGAAACTCTGCAACGTTGCTTGAATACAGAAAGTGGTGTTACCAAATTAGTCTTCCTGATGGTTCGCACGGCTATTTTCTCCCGTCCGACGCGGCACAAGGGAAGTAACTCTGATATCAACCGGAATGATTTAATTGCGGGCAGAAAAAGCCAACAATCAATGATAAATGTTTTCCTGTATCTTTGCTTAAAGTTTTATCGGCATTGCTTTCCTTTTCAGAGTTACTTAGAGATGGCTGAGTGATATACCAACTGAGAAGTACATTAGGACGTTGTTTTTGAATAAACCCAAACAAAAAAGATCAATCTTCAACATTTCACAGACGTCACCACCTGATTCCGTGGGGAAAATGGTTTGCCGTTTTCCTTAAGCTCACACGGGGTTCAATTTCTACAACCGACAATCAACATGGCCGTGCCATATCTTTAGATGTAGAGCACGTAAAAATGTCTCAGTCGAAGGCTTTCATTCCGACACTTTATCAGTTTGTATATAACTATAACTATTATGTAGCTATTTTAAACGCTAAAATAAAAAGTGTCATCTTTGATATCCCCAAGCACAACTGTATGACGTTTCTTAACAATAAATAGATATAACACGTTGGGGTTTACATCGGGTACCCGTAAGCCGTACCATGACTAAAAAACATATAGAAACGAAATTATCAAATAACTTGAGGTCCTCTTCACAAACTTCTATAAATATTTCTAAAATCAAACAATGTTTTTTTTTCATTATCACTATCTTACATCAGCGGAATAGTAAAAATCGAGAAAAAATCTTCAGGCTCCACTCAACCGTGAAAATTTGCGACTTCTATCTTATTTCTGTGAATATAAGGTTTGATGTAAGATTTGTTTTGATTTCAAATCTGAATTCTATCTATCTGATTGTAAAATATATGTTTCATTCAGAAGAAACGCTTAATCCACATCGCATTTTGTCTTATGATCGTTTGATTACCTCTGTTTCCGATCACTTGATAGACTAAAATTAGTCCTTAATTCGAGCTGTGTCATATAGCGGGAATCCACTTGTCCGTCCATCAAAATGACAGAATAAAAATGTCTCACATAACTTGTACGTTCTCAAGAAAGTTGAGAGAAATGCTGAAATGATGTGAATACTGGATGGACGCCATAAAAATAACTACCCATGATATCAAGATGCGTGTAATTTCTATACTGTGTGTACAAACATGTATGTATTGCAAATCTGCACGACGAATACCTGGACGCTTTAATATGTATGTAAACCGGAGGCCATATCCAAAGATACAGACCTATAAATAAGAATAGAGGTATCGGGGAAAAAATATCAAATATTTATAACAATTTTGAATTCTAATATAGTAAAGGTTCCAAAGTAATAATAATTTCTTGGTTTCTGTTTCTCACTTTTATGGAACTAGAGAAGACGTTTGAAATAACATGTTCAAGATGGCGACCATAGAAGCCACATTGGATTTTAATCCCGATTCGGAGAACAACACATTTGAAAGAGCAAATCAGGTAAGTTTGAGGTCAGTCAATAAAGAAGTTTTCAACGAAATGCTCTCAATTTTGATTAATGTTATAAATGTCTGGATGCTTTTTAGGCTAGCCTATTGCGACGGCCTTTCAGACAAATTTCACCGATCCTGGCCTTCTCATTGGCTGAAATATCGATAAGAGTTAGAGACCTCTAGCGACATTTTTTTGCGTAAATAATGCCGCGATCTTTCATTAATGTATCAACACTACAGTGAACAATGATATTTAATAATAGAGACACGTTATCGTTAGGACAAAGAATATACGGTAACGGCACATACGAACCAGCACGCTGTATCCCCTCCACGGTCGCCGTGAGGGGATAATAAAACATGTACTGATATAGATATCGGACACCGTTTTGTCAAAGGTTGGATAGAATTGATAGTGAATAGTCCCAAATATGAATTTATTGTCCAACAGCTGTTGATTTGTTGAACTGTCAGATTGATATCTTTTTAAAGTCACTGTGATTTTAGAGGAAATGACTATCAATTTCTACTAACCATTGTTTTACGCTCACCAAGTTTTGAACGGATTATCGAAAAAAAAAATTACACTATGCTTAGTACTATGTGTTTACGACGCTAGGAACCTTTCATGTAAGTACGCTGGTGGTTATGTAATATTCGGTATCAAATTACATCTCATCTTGCAAAACATATAACTCAACATTAAAATACTTTTATAAAGAAAATCTTGTAGGAGTCACCACTCATATGAGATTTTATGAAACAAGTCTTAGAATGTTTCCTTCATTGAGATTCTCGTGAGATGAAATACAAAATTCATGACGTGTTACAAATATACCAAATGAAATTGAAACGAATACATTATTCTGTTTATCACATAATTAGATATTTTTACAAACATTCGACTTATACAGTATCTTAATTGGAAATAATTTCATTCTTTATTTTTCGTTACGTCACGTTTTGACGTCACGTTTGTAAAATTTGGAGGCTTCAGCCAGACAGTCCCGCAAGGTTATATTACACGTATGTTAATAAAAATGTGTTATGGTTGTAATACACTGTGATATATGGTAGATTAGATCAAACATGTTTTACATAGAAACTTTCTTAGAATTTTATAAAACTCTGTAACTCATACAAGAAACATTAAACATGAATGGGTGGTAGGGTGGCGCAGTGGAAACGTGTTCGCCTTTTTCCAACCACTTTGTGGTTCGATTCCAAGAACTGACGTGAAAAGGTAAGGGTCACCTGCCCGACCAAGTGGGTATTCCCCGCATACCCCGGATTCCTCCCACAATAAGGCCCCTCGCGCGCTTACATCCAGGCCAACGAGTGTGAATATGTTGAAAATAATTCGTTTCGCAATTGTTTTAAAGTAAATAAAGTTTATAGTTTTCATTGAACATATAATATAATGTAAATAGTAAACATATACTATATCTGTGTGTGTGTGTGTGTGTGTGTGTGTGTGTGTGTGTGTGTGTGTGTGTGTGTGTGTGTGTGTGTGTGTGTGTGTGTGTGTGTGTGTGTGTGTGTGTGTGTGTGTGTGTGTGTGTGTGTGTGTGTGTGTGTGTGTGTGTGTCTGTGTGTGTGTGTGTGTGTGTGTGTGTGTGTGTGTGTGTGTGTGTGTGTGTGTGTGTGTGTGTGTGTGTGTGTGTGCATGTGTGTGTGCGGTGTGTGTGTGTGTGTGTGTGTGTAAAACCATCATGGGGTAAGGGGCTCCAATATTTCCATGACAAACGCGATATAATTCTACATACAGATGAGTCTGGTTTAAAACTCAATACTGTATTCTTAAAGATGTGCGGTGGCACAAGTTTGTTTCACAAGACCAGGTGAGGATCGAATGGGTTTTAAATATTATAGAACAAATTATGAACAATAAGTACGTTCGTATCTGTCGCTACACAATGGACTTCTTGACAATGACACAAGCTGTTTATTTAAAAAAAAAAAAAGCAGCAGTATTATATTTCTGAAAATTTCCGGTCGTATGTCATGTACTTAACTGAACTAGCTTGCATGTATTCTCCGAAAACCAGAAAAGCGAAACCACTATGACGATATATCAGTGTGTATCCAATGTAGCTGATCAGCTTACGAAGCACTTTAGTATATGTGTGCTGCCTTCCATGTGTGTCCTACCGTGACCCGTATACACGTATACAATCACACGTAGTTGATCAACGACACCTACAAATTTAAAACATCGGTGCCCGGTTTATGTCCATACTAACAGTAAGTAGATTTTTACGTATGTTCTACTTAATCATTTAGGTCAGAAAGAGTGGCGAATCCTCGCCTATATGTTTACACTACATACATTGTAAACAAGTCAGCACCACACGTGTGTGTAACATAAATACACACGTTTATATAATACAGGGGACTGTCGAGGTTTTATAATCAATATATATGTTTACAGCCATCATAGAAAAATAAATAAAACGTATTGCAGTAGAAATGAAAGTCATTAAGCCTGACCTTGACAGTAAACATGTGTTGTGCATTCACATGTTCCTATTTCCGGAAAAACCTCATCCATGATCTCGGAATTTCCATGTTGTGAAAATACATTGCACTTTGTCTGTCATAGTAATTGACGAGGATTTGAAGAGGCGACCTGTTGTGGAGGAGTGAGAGAGTCTACCTTGGTATGTAAAGCGCTTTAAATGAGTATACCAACACTTTATCAAGGTATAAATGTGAAGTATGTCTGCTACACACTAGGCACTGTATGTCAATCACTGTGCTTCTGTACACAAGCTTGTGACGTCATTTAAATCCGGTGTGCCCCACCTTCTGTTTATCATAATGTATTTACTTTGATACGAAACACTTTAGTATGTGTGTGCTTTAAGTTGAGCATAGTTGATCAAGGAATTGAATTTAGGAGTATATTGTGAATGTATTTATGTGCAAAGAAACGATCCGTCTCATGAAGTGTTTAATCTCAACTAAAGTTGCCTTACTGAAGATCAGCGCGATTTTTAATAAAAGAAAAATTATCTAGAGAGCCAGTTCTTTAAAAACCTCTTCCTCTGTAGGAATGTATCGATATTGCCTGTGTGTTGACGCTTAGGTATACTGATTGTGTTTACGCTGTGATATATTGCCTGTGTATTGTCGCTGTGATATGTTCTCTGTGTGTTGACACTGTGGTATATTGACTATGTGTTGACGCTGTGATATGTTCACTGTGTGTTGACACTGTGGTATATTGACTGTGTGTTGACGCTGTGATATATTGCCTGTGTGTTGACGCTGTGGTATATTGCCTGTGTATTAACGCTGTGGTATATTACCTGTGTATTAACGCTGTGGTATATTGCCTGTGTGTTGACGCTGTGGTATATTGCCTGTGTGTTGACGCTGTGATATATTGCCTGTGTGTTGACGCTGTGATATATTGCCTGTGTGTTGACGCTGTGATATATTGCCTGTGTGTTGACGCTGTGATATATTGCCTGTGTGTTGACGCTGTGATATATTGCCTGTGTGTTGACGCTGTGATATATTGCCTGTGTGTTGACGCTGTGATATATTGCCTGTGTGTTGACGCTGTGATATGATTGACTGTGTGTTGAGGCTGTGGTATATTGCCTGTATGATCACAATGTGATATATTGCCTATGTTTTGACACTGTGGTATATTGCTTGTATGATCGCAATGTGATATATTGCCTATGTTTTGACGCTGTGGTATATTGCCTGTGTGTTGACAATGTGATATATTGCCTGTGTGTTGATGCTGTGATATATTGCCTGTGTGTTGACGCTGTGATATATTGACTGTGTTGACGCTGTGGTATATTGCCTGTGTGATGACAATGTGATATATTGCCCATGTTTTGACGCTGTGATATATTGCGTTTGTGTTGACGCTGTGGTATATTTCCTGTTTGTTGACGCTGTGGTATATTGCCTTACCTGTGTGTGTGTGACGCTGTGATATATTGCCTGTGTGTTGACGCTGTGGTATATTGCTGTGTGTTGACGCTGTGGTATATTGCCTGTGTGTTATGTGATATATTGCCTGTGTGTTGACGCTGTGATATATTGCCTGTGTGTTGACACTGATATATTGCCTGTGTGTTGACGCTGTGATGTATTACCTTTGTTGACGCTGTGATATATTGCCTCTGTGTTGACACTGTGATATATTGCCTGTGTGTTGACGCTGTGATATATTGCCTGTGTGTTGACGCTGTGGTATATTGCCTGTGTGTTGACGCTGTGGTATGTAGCCTGTGTGTTGACACTGTGATATATTGCCTGTGTGTTGACGCTGTGATATATTGCCTGTGTGTTGACGCTGTGATATATTGCCTGTGTGTTGACGCTGTGATATTACCTGTGTGTTGACGCTGTGATATATTGCCTGTGTGTTGACGCTGTGATATATTGCCTGTGTGTTGACGCTGTGATATATTGCCTGTGTGTTGACGCTGTGATATATTGCCTGTGTGTTGACGCTGTGATATATTGCCTGTGTGTTGACGCTGTGGTATATTACCTGTGTATTGACGCTGTGGTATATTGCCTGTGTGATCACAATGTGATATATTGCCTGTGTGTTGACGCTGTGATATATTGACTGTGTGTTGACAATGTGATATATTGACTGTGTGTTGACGCTGTGATATATTGACTTTGGTGTGTTTTGACGCTGTGATATATTGCGTTTGTGTTGACGCTGTGGTATATTTCCTGTTTGTTGACGCTGTGGTATATTGCCTTTTTGTTTACGCTGTGGTATATTGCGTGTGTGTTGACGCTGTGATATATTGACTGTGTGATGACGCTGTGGTATATTGCCTGTGTGTTAACGCTGTGGTATATTGCCTGTGTGTTGACGCTGTGGTATATTGCCTGTGTGTTGACGCTGTGATATATTGACTGTGTGTTGACGCTGTGATATATTGCCTGTGTGTTGACGCTGTGGTATATTGCCTTTTTGTTTACGCTGTGGTATATTGCGTGTGTGTTGACGCTGTGATATATTGCCTGTGTGTTGACACTGTGATATATTGTCTGTGTGTTGACGCTATGGTATATTGCCTGTGTGTTGACGCTGTGGTATATTGCCTGTGTGTTGACGCTGTGATATATTGCCTGTGTGTTGACGCTGTGATATATTGCCTGTGTGTTGACGCTGTGGTATATTGCCTGTGTGTTGACGCTGTGATATATTGCCTGTGTGTTGACGCTGTGATATGCTGTGATATATTGCCTGTGTGTTGACTGTGATATATTGCCTGTGTGTGTGTGTGACATATGCTGTAATATGTGATATATTGCTGTGTGTTGTGTGTTGCCTGTGTGTTGACGCTGTGATATATTGCCTGTGTGTTGACGCTAAGGTATATTGACTGTGTGTTGACAATGTGAGATATTGCCTGTGTGTTGACGCTGTGGTATATTACCTGTGTGTTGACGCTGTGATATATTGCCTGTGTGTTGACGCTGTGATATATTGCCTGTGTGTTGACGCTGTGATATATTGACTGTGTGTTGACGCTGTGATATAATGACTGTTGACAATGTGATATATTGTCTGTGTGTTGACGCTGTGATATATTGCCTGTGTGTTGACACTGTGATATATTGCCTGCGTGCCTGTGTGTCGCTGTGATATATTGACGTGTGTGATATATTGCCTGTGTGTTGTGTGTTGACGCTGTGGATATATTGACTGTGTGTTGACTGTGTGATATTCTGACTGTGTTGACTCTGTGATATATTGCCTGTGTGTTGACGCTGTGATATATTGCCTGTGTTGACGCTGTGGTATATTGCCTGTGTGTTGACGCTGTGGTATATTGCCTGTGTGTTGACGCCGTGGTATATTGCCTGTGTGTTGACGCTGTGGTATATTGACTGTGTGATGACGCTGTGGTATATTGCCTGTGTGTTAACACTGTGATATATTGCCTGTGTGTTGACGCTGTGGTATGTAGCCTGTGTGTTGACACGGTGCCTGTGTATATGTGCCTGTGTGTGTGTGTTATACTGTGTGTTGATACTGTGATATATTGCCTGTGTGTTGACGCGCCTGTGTGTTGACGCTGTGATATATTGCCTGTGTGTTGACGCTGTGATATATTGCCTGTGTGTTGATTGCCTGTGTGTTGACACTGTGGTATATTGCCTGTGTGTTGACGCTGTGATATATTGACTGTGTGATGACGCTGTGGTATATTGCCTGTGTGTTGACGCTGTGATATATTGCCTGTGTGTTGACGCTGTGGTATATTGCCAGTGTGTTGACAATGTGATATATTGCCTGTGTGTTGACGCTGTGATATATTGACTGTGTGATGCAGCTGTGGTATATTGCCTGTGTGTTAACGCTGTGGTATATTGCCTGTGTGTTGACAATGTGATATATTGCCTGTGTGTTGACGCTGTGGTATATTGCCTGTGTGTTGACGCCGTGGTATATTGCCTGTGTGTTGACGCTGTGGTATACTGAATGTGTAAATGATGTGACACAATACTTTTGCCACGAAGCTGTGGTATACTGACAGTGTGTTGAAGGCATGTTATCTGTTATTATTATCATATTATTGCTAAGGCATATTATCTCATTAATCGACGCTGTGGCATGCTGTTTGTAGACACGAGTAGATATTGATAAATACACACAGAGTGATTGATAAGTTTCATCTACGGACCATGCAACGCAAGTGTAAATATTAGTAAATATAACATCGGTTTCACAATGCATACTGCACTGAACATCTCTAAATATAGCAAACCGATGTAAGTAGTCATATTTTATCAAATTTGTAGATTTACGATGGAAGCTCCAATCTCCATGGAGCCTGAAGAGGAAAAGAAAGTGTTTATATCCTACAGTAGCGATGATTTACATATAGTGAGGATGATACAAGGCCGCTTAAAGGAAAAGGGTATGTTTTGTTGTATCCCTTACAAAACATGTTGATGTAATTTATGAATTATACACAACGAATATAGTATACTGTTAATCATTTATATTTATTTTCACGTTAATAGGCCAGGAAAGGTAATCGTGAATTCAAGTTCCTTGCGATTTTTTGTACCAAGAAACATTTGATGGTATCCATGCTGATTCAAAGTCCATATATCTAAAAGCCCATCACTCGCGAATTTAAAGTCAAAATCATGAAAGTTAGCAACCGCCAAGGAATAAAAACGATTGCATAATATAACAGATATACCAATTCTGTTTTTTTATAGACATGTCCTGTGTTGTTGTTTTTGTTGATGATGTTGTTGTTGTTAATGTTAATGTTGTTGTTGTTGTTGTCGTCGTCGTCATTGTTGTTGTTCTTGTTGTTGTCGTCGTCGTCGTCATTGTTGTTGTTCTTTTTGTTGTTGTTGTTGTTGTTGTTGTTGTTGTTGTTAATGTTGTTGTTGTTAATGTTGTTGTTGTTGTCGTCGTCGTCATTGTTGTTGTTCTTGTTGTTGTTGTTGTAACCTTGTTTCTCATTTGGGAACTTGACATCATTTACTTGGATTGACCAAGATTTAAGAAAAAATACCTTAGAGATATTTTTGTGCTTTAAATGACTTTTACGGTTTATTTTTGTCATCTTCTGTTTCTAAGGTATCGAATGCTTTGTTGCGAAGGAAATGTGTTATGGGGTTCCAACACTGGGAGGAATTGTAACCGGTCTCTCCACAAGTAGAGCCACCCTCTTTCTTGTAACCCCCAAGGCTTTGAAGAGTTCATGGTTCGCTTTTGAGACCATTCTTACGTTAGAGAAATCCCAACAGCGAGGCCAACTTAACTGTGTGATATTACTCCATGGTGTAACAGAGAACGAGGTATCATATCTATATACACTATTCCGATTGACTTTTATTCTCCGAGGTTTTACTTAATCTGCATGCCAAGTTTTAATTTATTTGAATTCAGAATATTCACAAGTACTTAACTTTATTCTTAAATCATCAGATTATGTACATGTTATTGAATCAATGCACTTCACCATCTAGAATTTGACAGGAAATTATAAAAGTAATTTTTGATAAACTTATCATCGACCAGTCCAGTATAGGAACAGCTACCAAAGTCCAAAGTTAAGTACCAAAATGTGTACTCCCTTTTTTTTTTTTTTTTGTTTATTTTTAGCTTCCCAAGTTTGCTTTGTTTCACATGATTGATAAATATGTGCTGGATTTGGATGTGTTTGGAACATGGAACAAGGAGCAGATCCAGAAGGTCATAGGAACCATTCGAGGTATTAATAAAGACATTAGCCAACACTACACGACTGACAGTATTGGGCTGAATCACATACTTGTTCCAACTAATTTTCCCGTGTAATATGTTTACATATGTCAGTTTTGTAATATATATATAACCTGGATTTTGTTTTCATTGGCTGTGCTGGTCACAATATGATTGTGACGTCATAATCTGGACAACGATGATGCTCGTTACGTGAAAATATTTCAACAGATATCTACGATATGATTTAATCCTCTTCTTTAAATCCTGTCAAAATCTTATTTTTTTGAGATATGTAATAGTTTTTTTTATTTCGGAAAGTCGCCAAGCATGCAAAAATTTAAATCTTAAAAATTTTTCTTAATAACATCTCGTATGAAATGAATGAATTTAATATCCCATATCTTTTATACACTAAATGAATTTAATTTAACCTCGGAAAAAAATGCTCACAAAAAATTGTAATAACAGATTATGTTCTTGTCATAGATGGCCCGTTATTACGAATTACAGCTTACGTCACTTGTAACATCAATGTATTTGTTACATTTCAGAGGCGAAAACAATCACGACTGAACTTCCGGTCGGAAACGTTGCGCACGCACAGGCTTGGTCTCATTACTTTGGGTACCACCATGTTATACATCCATGTATGTATTGAATTCAAGCTAAAATTATAAATTATTAACCATAGGTGGCTCTTTCAGCTTGATATTTAGGAAAAACACAAAAAAGTCATGGAATTAAATATACGTCCATTTTACTGAACCCTCAGCTTTTTGGGGCTCTTTTCATATAAACAAATCGGTAGTTAAGTCTAGATGAGATTTTTCTTAATTGAAATACTGTTGTAATTAGTATATTCATGGGTATATGCATGATTACATAATAATAGTTTATTTATCTATATGTATATTAGTGTACATTTCTCGTATCTATTTATCAAAATATTGAATTTTATTTAAAATTATCACTTATGTCCCTTGGCAGTGCTAGACTGTATAACAAATCTCTCATTGTATGAAACGTATACATCCAAAGGGAGATGACTTGTATAATCTGCCTGTTACCCAATTCCCATTAAATAAATCTTTTTGATTTTATAAAATATTTTTAAATAAAAAAAAAAAAGAAACTAAGCTAAAAAAAAAGTGTCCATTGAGGGTTTGCTTCAATCAAGAGCTTCACTGAACAGCTAGGGTAAAAAAAACAATGTTTGACAGCAGATTATACGTTATACGCAATAAACACCATGGACTAATTTATTGTTTAAGCTTTCTTTCAGACGTCTATCAAGATATACTTTTGTGTTTTAGTCCTTGTATGTTAGTGCTAGTACGCTCCACACTTGTCATTTTTCTGATGAAGGTGACCGTGACGTCATCGAAACGTCACACTCTAATTTTTTACTGGTTAAGACCTCTGTTGTGTTGTGACTAATATACATGATATGATACATGATATATAAACTAGGATTTGTTTATATATAGATCTTGAAGAGAAAATCAAAAAGAGTACCTGGTTTAGGGAAAACAGCAAAAACATGCCAATTGCAGTTTACGAACTTGTTCCAAAGAACTGCATCGTGCCACGTGAAATAAAAGCCAGAAACATCAAGAAAGAGGGAACCCTTGACCCTATCTTTGTAGATATGGGAGGTGTTGTGAAGCGTCCGTACATCCTAAATGTTTACTCCATAGAGGAGGGAGGAGAGGTATCTCATGAATATTAATATATTTGCGAAAAACGCTATGATATCAATAAAATATTTTTAATCAATAAGATATTTGTCAGTATAGTGTTAAATACTGATTAACTGAAAATCTAAAAATAAAGAATAAGTTAATGAAAAGTTAAATTGAAATAATTAAATAATTCTGTTGTGTATTAATTTGATTTATCAGCATTAGGATTCAGTCATACTAGAGTAGAGAGAGGATAATGTTTGACTTTGACACTGATTTTGTGATCGATTTCGTTAAGTTTAAAAATCATCTGTAGAATTGAATATTCATTGTTTTACATGTCTGAATGTCTGCTTGAATAGAAATACTACTGCGTTGCGCAATATCCTAGCGTCCTGGGTGCCATTCAGAAAATGGAAATCTCCCCGTTGGTTGATATGGACGAACAGCACAAGATTCTTCAGGCAGCGCGGTTCTATTATACTCTTCACGCCATACTCACACGCCCGGGGTTTGAGTACCAGTCTCAGGCACGGCTTCTCTGGTTTGATGGTGACTATCAAATAATGTTGACTAATATCGATTTTTTTTTAAGATTGACATAAGAGAAGATTTATTTTTTGCTATTTGATGACAATTACTTCCACAATCATTGATTAAAGCCTAATTACTTGTCCTCATTATAGACGCCGTGGAGGATATGGCGAATGTCTTGCTGGAGGCTGTCAAGAAAGACGTGATGGTAAATTAATAGTTAAAATGTTGACACCAGAATTATTACGTTACAACACTAACATCACTGGCAGCCATGTGCTGCAGTTGAATTCAGGATGTCGCCATTTTTTCTAATCTGTCATTTACTTAATTGTTTTTAGTAGAATTCTTATATATGACATTATAATATTGATTCTAAAAACAATCGATAGGAATTGTGCTAGCATGGATAAAGTTTTGAGCCTATATAGTGCTCTGAAAGAGATGTCGATTATTGAAGAATAGAAAAATAAGACAGTAGCTGTAAAGCAACCGTATTGTTATCATAATGTCACTATACTTTAAGATCAAATGATTCTGTCAGAACAGCATTTTTTGTTAAAAAGCAGCATGATTGCACCATTAACAACTGCAAGGGTTAATTTCAGAGCACACCGTCCGATAGAACCGCGACAGATAGTAGAAAAGTCTTGAAGACGTTAGAGAAGAGAGACTGCCAAGAAAAGGCCTATGATGCGGTTATCCTGCACAACAGTGCCGACCTATACTCACAGAAGATTCACCAAAACATAGTCAACTATCTGGAGAATACAGATGTAAGCCTTCACGAATCTCCATTGAAGGCAGGATCACCACAATTTCAGTGTAAGCATATTTTGTTTAGTCGATTTACACAATCAGGTTTTTATGACTGTACCGTTAAACGATTTCTCCGGTACTAATAAAAGTTTTTTTTTTGTTTTGTAGCGTTGTCCGAAGCAGTATCAAACGTGCGATGGGTGATACTGATTATTACCGAACCAGGAATCCAAAATAACCCGGTGTTCCAGATGGAGACAATATCTATTCTGGAAGAATGCGTCAGCGACTCCAGAATACGAATCATTCCCGTCATTGATGCAAAAATCTATGACAGATCTCGTGAAACCTGTGGAGGTATTTCTCCCGATATTATACCAGATCTTCTTAGATGGGTAACATACATTGACGTGCAGACAAAAGAATATGAAAAATCCATCTACGAGGCACTGAAAGGTATACATCATGATATATTACTGTACAACTGTTATACTTAAGTTTCATGTATCTTCTACGTTGATGACATGAAATACTTTCTGATTTTGGGGTATTATCTACAGTGTTACGATGTTTATGAATAGAGATGGATCCCGTTCATAGTGGTTGTGGTGATGCTAGAAATAGATACTGCATTGGAAATTATCAATAATTGGATATCCATTATCTTTTTACAATACCGTATATCTGGATATTTTTGCGATGTGTAATTTTTTTGGCGGTAATTCCGAACATCTACTTTTCGCAATTTTTACTTGTTTCATTTTTTTTTTTTTGCGATTTTATTGTCTTAAGAAATTTTGAAAATGGACATTAGTGTAGATTCTAACATCTACTGGAGATCTAACTGACCGGTCACACTAAACAAGAGATTTACATGCCGGCTAGTATTTATTTGTTAAAGAAGTATTCACGACTAGAAAGTGGCCAAGGTGTATGTAGGTATATCAGCCCTATACGAGCATTACTCATGCGTTTATCTTAAAGAGAAGAAAACATGCAATGTTTTGGATTTTATTTTGACGGTTTTGAAAGGGTCACTGAATTCATAAAATTGAGATACTCGCAAAAAATATACGGTATACTATCTGGAAGAAGCTCCAATAATATATTCGTTGTGATGATAAAGTTCATTTGACATTTTTGAGTACTAATTATCATGTTTAGTCTCTTATGTGCTTTCGCATACACTACAGAAAACGTATTAATTTAGCTGGTTTGTTGTTATAGGAGAAAGCGATCCTATTGTGTTAGACTCGGCCCATATTCCAGCTGGGAACCTTGGTTACGGCTTGGCCTGGGGTTATGTTGTCAACTATCTGAAGATTGTTCTTCCACGTAAGAGAATTTATGCTTTCGATTAACTGTACTGTCCAGGAGTATATAAGATATTGTAGAGTCGCTTATATCAAAGAAAATGAATTTATACTTGCAAATTGTATACTTCGTGAATATCTTGAATTGGTGTTCTGCAGTCCAGTTTCACAAGTCCAATGCCATGTGCAGTATGGCGTCATTAATAAGTTATTCAAAGGTCGCAATAATAATTAGCAGTTGAATGGAAATAATAATGATAAAGTATAACGCATTGCGCTTTACAAAAATTAGATTAAAAGCATACATGTTATGTGTGTCTCTTCTCAGAGCTCGGACCAGGGCTTCAAAGGGTGCTTGAATCGGATGAATTGAATATAAAGGTCTGCCCTGATAAGCTTTATCTCTTGGTGCCGAAAACGTGCAAATGTCCAGACCAGATTACTGCAAATCATGTGGAACATGCATATTCCTTCAAGTCGATGTCTGACCTCAAGGGTGGAGCAAACATCATCAAGAGCTTGGATATTTACCAGGTCATGGACGATGATAATATTCAACAGGAAGTAAGACGTTTTCTCATTCTTTCATTTATCTATGTGACCCTTATTAACAGGATTTCTTTGTGTAAAGAATCACATTCAGTACAGTATCAAACTACATACTGTGTTAAAATACAAGCACCTGTTGAAAACTGATGATTTAATCTGTCAACCCATTCTCTGGCAAAAAAAATCAATAAAATACCAACATGTCAATATAAGCATACTCTAAACACAGATTCTTAGATTCAACTAAGACAAAATATGAACAAAAGAAAAATTTACTCGATGATTCCTGAAAAAGTACAAAGAGAATAAGACCAGGGCCCGTATTCATGAAACCGTTCTCATGCTCAAGCATGAATTTTGTGCTATATATTGTTTAAGTTAAAATTTAATAAATGAGGCTGATTTTACCATAGATTTAAAAACAATTTTGAAAGGGCTTCAAGTCAAAGCGATATTTAAGGTTTAAATTTGACATTTGTATTATTTTATATGATTTAGGCGAGTTATAAAAAAAGTTTGCTTCAGCACAAAATCTATGCTCGAGCATGAGAATGGTTTCACGAATACGGGCCCAGGTGTCTCGGAAGAGTAAATAAAAATTAATCTGCTAACTGTGTTTCCTCCTATTACATAGTTACACTGTTACACTGTTTCAGAAACACTGTTTTGTTGGACTTTACCCAGCCCCGTTCCGTTGCCTAGATATGATGAATGCCTGTAAAGTAGCAGGAATCAACCCACAGTCTATGGAAAGGGAAAAGAATCGCTTTTGTGACACCCTGCACAGCCTGCTATGGGGGAAAGTGGGCGAGGGTTTGCACAATAAATGTGAACTTGTTTTCTTCGATGGTAATTATATTCTTTAGATTTACCTTACACTTATGACAAATTTTTTTGAATGTTTGTATAATTTGAGTTCACCTGCTCAAAATAATAATGAAAGGTTATCGTTCAAATGTGTACCAAGTTGTATTTTTTTAAAGTATTTCTGTTCCAAAACATATTGGTCCGCAACATGTTAACATGGAGGATTTTCTAGTTTGATCACCGGATATTGAGTTTCGGGACAAGATTTTTTGTTCTGTATTCTTACATTCCGTGGCAGAAGAATGATCTTGACCCTAAAAACATTTTTGTCGAAAGGTTGCGTTATACTACTACGAAGAAAGGTAATTTTGTTGGATAAAAGTGTGAATCTTCTTAACAAAATCACCCTTTTGGTTGGTTATAAGAGAGTTTAATTCAGTTGAATCATGCGTTAGTTGACTAAGTCTGGTTGTTCTTGGAGCAGAAAAAATTTGATTCCATAGCATAGCTGGAGTAATATTAGTCTTAATTGACCCAGGCAATCCTCTGATTAAACGGTCTTGGTGTAATACATAAAGGGGTTTTCCCAACTGGAACAGAATTTTGGTCTCCTGAGAGCAGAGGGTTCTTTTGTCATCCTCTTTCAATGCATGCTGATGATTGAAGTAAACATTGGATGAAAGGGAAAAGGGGGGGGGGGTAAAATGTTACACATTATAAACATAAACACTTGGATTAATAGAGAAATTACTGTGATATCTTAATCTGATAATTTAAGGAACCAGATGTGTTTCGGATTATGCAGTTGAGGTGATTTCATATTATCTTTGAAATGAAACGCAGTACCCAAATGATGAAGTACTATGCAGTCATTAACTCTTAACAAAATATGTCTAACTTAATGTCTACAAGTAAGAAATGTATAAAATGTCATTTCTGCGTACACATTGACAGGAAAGGATTATATATATAGCCCTTTCCTTTTGGTAACCCCTCTGTCCTTGTATTTTTGGTTATTAACCCACAATCAGAGGATTAAATGTCCTTTGTTTTTACTTTGATAGATTCCAAAACTTTGTTCACTGTTACTTCCACATAACCATGAATACAAATAAGATACGGTAAGATATGAACCCATAATCAACCAGATTGGTAACAATTTGTAAAATATACAAAAATATCCAATAATTCATATGTCTGAATAACGCTTAGTATCAGGGACTTATACACTGTAACTAAAACCGAAACTTCATGATATGTTGTTAATCATCTCTGTTCTGTCAAAGATTTTTTTGGCCATACCTTTGGTTTCTGCGATTAGATCTGATAGACATTGTTTGAGTACTTACGTTTAAGCTGAGATTAACTCGGGGCTGAAGGTCATAACTAGATAAAAACATCAATTAATAATTTGATCAGATTGAATCAGGAACATTATTACGAAGGAGGAAATCCATGGAAAATACATGCTTAAAAGCAAATATTTCCCTTTAATCCAAGTATAGAATTTGCAGTTTCCAATCATCAGTTTGGCTCCTCAAGCATAACATAACTAAGGTAAAAATCACCAGTTGGATACTTAGCATATATATCGAAGCAAGTAATATTTTTATGTTACATTGGGCGAAATTTTCGTGGTTTGCAATATAAAATACATTTCGTTAATATGTATTTTCGTGGATAAGAAGTACTTACAAAATGCGCTAATGTAAAAGTAAAGGTTATTCTTACCTGTTCGTCATTTAATTAACATTCGTTTATTGAAAATATATACACATCAACAAAAATAAAATCCTTAGGAAAATTCAAAGCTACATCAACAAAACTCGGGCAATAGTCTAGTGGCCATATCAGGATTTTTTTATTCTATTTGCGAATTAAAGATATACATATATCCTTTCATTATTGCGAGTTGAAATTTGCAAATCAGTCTAATTGCGTGGTATATCATTACGCCTGATGCTATACGTCTACGTCAGAGACAATAATTTATCACTGAAGTTAATACAACTTATACGCGTTTATCTCTCTTTATAATTTGATTCAGGTTGTTCAGGAACTAAGTACTTAAGCGAGAGTTTCCTCACAGTTTACGACATGCATATTCATATTATTTACAGAGAGTGATAAAAAGTTTATATATATATACGTTAAGGGAAAGTAGATTAATTTTTACAAAACATACCTGTATATTACCTGTAAGAGAATATTCAACAGTCTATAGACTGTTTCTAATCACTGGAAATAATGTGATACGTGTGAATGGTCTTCTTACCCAGGATGACGACAACAAATCTGACACATCATTTCCGTCAAAACTTCTAACGGGCTACATTTTAATTGGAAATAGTGTGATGTGGCTCGTAAAAAATAGTGAAAATGTCAGTTTGATTGATTTTCCAATTAACGAAAATATCAACTGTATTTGCACTGTTTAACCTTATATTTCACCGCGAAAATGTAAAAATGTTATTTCAGTTTAGTCTACAAGTTAATTACTCGATAACATCAGCCTACTATGATTTGAAATTGATTTTTCCACATATCCAATAGTTTATTAACTAAGCTTCCGAATGCACTTACATGATCGAGGAAGACTGAGGGATTGAAATGGCCACAAATAAACCTTGATGGCGGAAGCTCAATTTCGGAAAAAATGTGCCATTACCATTTCCAATCCGTACTAGTGATATTGAAATAAGTTAAGCCCGGTGTTCATAAAGACCACTGGTGATATATAAAAATCCATTTACCTTTCATCAAACATACATTATTGTAGATGATGACCCAGATGACCTCAGAAGAAAACTCTTACCGAAGATATATTTTGACGTCGATCGGGAGAAAGCGCAACGTAAACGGAAAGAAGACAGAAAACGACGTGATGGAGGTGTCCCTAAACAACCTGAACCGTAAGTAATCAATATTAGAAATTGTCAACTCGGTTTCATCAACAAGAATTAGTAAATCATCATATTCATTACCTAAAACAGTGTTTTTATTGATGATTTTGCTACCATAACTCTATTGGTGGTCTGCCTGAACTATCCATCTGAATTGCTTTTTTCGTTTTCTGTACTGACTTCAGTACGATAAGAAACGAAAACTTGCTTGGAATCGACACTTGGTAAATGTTAACTCTTACAGAACACTTCGATAAATGTAGAAAACATCGACCTCTGATTTTTTTTCCTCTCATCTGTGTCTTATCAGCGACTGAATAAATTCATCTTTAATCACTCCTCTGATATTAATGTTCTTTATCTCTCATTTCCGATCCTTTAACCCTCAAAATGAAAAGCGCGGAGTCCATCCTACATCAGATTACATGAACAGGTTCCGTTTTCAAACTAAAAAGATGTCGTCAACAAAAATTCAAAACAGCTCTGGTAGTTACAAGTCCGCGGAAAGTCTTTATTCTATTTACGTTGTGTATATGTCCACATGCCATTGTGATCAAATTTGTTCTTAAACGAAATGCCAAAATTGTAATGCCACATTTTAATTCATTCGAATAGTGACACGGTTCAGAATATACACATGTACTTGACGCTGTTCTAAATGTATCTCATGCATGAAAGTTAGAAAATGTATTTGATAACGGGGCTGCTTCACCTACTCGTCTAGATTTTGAGATTTCTTTCGATCGCTTTCCTTAGTCGCCTTCTAGGCTTCAACATTTAGGCCCTAAGCATCACTGAGGAATAATAAAAGGACGAAACAGCTGGATGATGCAATTTAGTTCATTGTTTAACACTACTGTATCTAGCTCTTAAACATTAAATGATGTTGTTAACTTGTGTGTCTTTTGTATATTCTTTGGAACCTTACAGATTAATATGTGATAAAAGATACCTGTACTATTCTTGGGCGTTGAGAAACATTTCATATGAAAAATATCTGTACTATTCTTGACCGTAAGGGACATTAAATTTCAAAATTACCTGGAAACACTGGGAATGGAAAATACCTGTACTATTCATATTCGTGAGGAAGTATTAGACTTCTCCATATTTATCACCAGCATGTCCCAACATGATTCTATGTCTGATTAATGTAGACGATGAATATTATAATATAAACGACCCCAGATAAGTGAATGTTGTGATTTTTTTTTATTAATCAGCATAATCTGTACATATTAACAAATTCTTACTAAACCATATCATTTGTCTGCGTTAATATTTGATCACGTGACCCTGACAAATGATCAGAAAAAAACCTCTATCTCTATCAACTTCATTTCTGATATTTTCAAGACGACAAATGTCTGTGTTTATTTGTTATGGGTATGCATTTGTCACGATGTTTGTAGATGTTTCAAGTACTTTTTGTCACCATGCTTTAAGGTACGATGAGTACGTTTCATCGAGATATTTGTGGGTGTTATGAGTACATCATTTGTCGCGATATTTTTAGGTTTTATAAGAACGTGTTGTCGCGATATTTGTAGTTGTAATGAGTACGTGTTGTCGCGATATTTGTAAGTGTAATGAGTACATTTGTTGCGATATTTGTAAGTGTAATGAGTACATTTGTCGCGATATTTGTAAGTGGTATGAGTACATTTGTTGCGATATTTGTAAGTGTAATGAGAACATTTGTCGCGATATTTGTAGGTATAATGAGTACATTTGTTGCGATATTTGTAAGTGTAATGAGTACATTTGTTGCGATATTTGTAAGTGTAATGAGTACATTTGTCGCGATATTTGTAAGTGTAATGAGTACATTTGTTGCGATATTTGTAAGTGTAATGAGTACATTTGTTGCGATATTTGTAAGTGTAATGAGTACATTTGTTGCGATATTTGTAAGTGTAATGAGTACATTTGTTGCGATATTTGTAAGTGGTATGAGTACATTTGTCGCAATATTTGTAGGTGTAATGAGTACATTTGTCGCGATATTTGTAGATGTTATGAGTATGTTTTGCCACGATTTCGGTAGATGTTTTGAGCTCGATTCATGAATTATGTGACTACTGGTATCGTTTCTTTAGATCTTAACTATTTCGACTCCCAAACTGATACGGTTACGAACCTGAAGATGCGGATAAAACAACATAAACAAATATGTCTCCACGAGTACTGAGATTTACGTTCCTCTGACTGTGTATGGAATACGTAAATCTGCTTCCGGAAACATTCAATGACGTTTAGCCTTAAGCATCTCTTCCGTTTCTTACTCTATTCGTAGTTTTGAGGATTGTCGGTGACCGTATAATTTATGTTTGTTTCCTTTAATAATGCAATATGCTTAGGCAATGATACCAAGTACACGGATGTTGTAACAGGAAATTCGCGAATCGTCATATTAAGGAAATTCGCAAAATCAGTCAAACAAAGAAAAAAGAACACATTTTGTAAAATAAATTATGTTTTTAACTCACAAAGTCAAAGTCTCTCTTTTAACTGTGTACAGCGTATTAGGCCTTGCGATTGTATATTTAACTATCATAGAAGTAAATCCCATACTTAAATGCAACCTATGTTTCATTTATCCGTACTTCAAAGCATATACCAGTAACAATATTGTAACCACCATTTTAAGGTATCGGTCATCTGAACTCAAATTGTAATTCACGAAAATTTGTATCCGTCTTTATCTTCAGACTAAACAAAATTCCGGACTTTCAATTTCATATTATATAAACATTCGATTACAGTGCTGTGAATCCTTGGTTGACGTGTGTCTATAAATATCATAATAGCTGGACCGGACCAGGGATTACCTGTTACTGAATCGTATTGAGTGAAACAAGCGAAGCATTAGTACTACGTGACCCGAAAATGCATAAATGAAATTGCAGACACAAGATACGTGTCAGGATTTAGTTTACAAAAATTCAAGGTTTGTACTCGTTAAGTAAAGCCAATACAACTTATTGTAGTATTAGGTTTCGTCAACATCTTTATCGCTCTCCTTTAGATATGTTTGGATATATGTGTATAGCGTCGCACTGAGTAGAGAGTGTCTAATATCTATGATAATAGTACAGCCTCGCTGTTGTCTGCTATATTGACAATCTTCTAATATACACCAGTCTGTAAACAACTGAAGGTGTGCATCATTAATATATAAACTGAAGGTATAGATTAATATATGAACTGAATGTGTACATTTATATATGAACTGAATGTATAGATATATGAACTTAATGTGTACATTTATATATGAACTGAAAATATAAATTGATATATGAACTGAATGTATACATTTATATATGAACTGAAGGTTTAAATTGATATATGAACTGAATGTATACATTTATATATGAACATATGAACTGAATGTATACATTAACACATGAACTTATTGTATACATTTATACATGAACTGAATGTACATTTATACATGAACTGAATGTATACATTTATATATGAACTGAAAGTATACATTCATACATGAACTGAAAGTATACATTTATACATGAACTGAAAGTATACATTTATACATGAACTGAAAGTATACATTTATACATGAACTGAAAGTATACATTGATACATGAACTGAAAGTATACATTTATACATGAACTGAAAGTATACACATTAAGATATAAACTGAAGGTATACATTGATACATGAACTAAATGTGTACATTTTTGTATGACCTAAAGATTTAAATTAATATATTAACTGCAGGTATACATTAATACGTGAACTGAAAGTAAATATCATTATGTGAACTAAAGGTATACACCAATATGTTAGCTTAAGATATACGTTATTTATTTTTATTTTCATTTTGAATGGGTATTAAGTATCGCGTAAACAATGTATGTAAATATAGTACTTCTTTCTTACATACTTTTAACACCATCGCTGACAGGCCTGGCGGTAATTACTGAACCGTATCAACTGTCGGGAATTACGCATGAACTAAATATATCGATGGAATATTTCAAGGAGAAACCCATGATGGCTTGCCAATTTTGCGCAGTAAACATCATAATCTACACACTGAAAATCCCTGAACATCAACGCGTTCAAATAACACGTACTTTCACTATGACAGCTCGTTAAATCATGAAAGTGCTTATTAAGGGAATGGAAGTTTTCATAGGCTTTTAAACCTATTATATACGTCGTTTCAAATTTTAAACAAGGCAAAAATTAAAGTTGAATATCATACAATAAAAATGTGAAAACAATTTACTTTTACATTTGTTTATATATTACCAGTAATTGTATACGAACATTCTGTTTATATTCGCAATGATGTAACCTTGACTCAGAAATCAATAGGAATTTACGTATGTGTTGAACAGTACCCTTCTATCCATTGCTAACGAGTAAACATGTTAATAGTAGGCAAAGGAAGTTATCTTTCTATGAATTAATATTTGTATGAAAACTTTTGATGTGTGAGTAATTTTCCTGGAATCGAATATACGTACCATCGCTGTACAGTATTTTGTTACGTGTTTAGCTGTTCATGAATATTCATGTTATTTGTGGGCGTTAAGTATTCGGGTATGGATATATTTAAACAAGCACTCACATGTACTTCGTCATATTGACCTGAGAAGATAACTGTGACATAGTAAGTAGTACATGATAACATAACCCATATGACTTGTTTATCTGATTCTGGCCACGGAATAGTCTTCGACAACATCTTTTTGACCCTAGTATATGATAATTATTTACGGAATATTATTATTCATATATTTTTATTCAATGGTTGATTTTTTCGCTTCCATCTTTCGTTCGATTTACTACGGGTTGAATGTTCTTATAAGTCGCTTGAAGACGCTGTTATATATAACAATGTCGATGTACGGATAAAAAAACCAAAAACTACTTAAGTACTTCCATGATGCCACTTCAAAATGACACAAGAAACATATCTTAAATGTGCACTTTCACATAATGGGTTTCCTGTTGTATCTATGCCTGTATCTGCTAACTTTAACATACTTGATATTAAACAAATTGATCCGCTGTTTTAGAGTCTGGACATGCATAAGCATGAAGTATTACCACACTTGCTTCTCCAGTTCTGTTCCATAACTCTTTTTCAGAATCCAGAGTGTTTCTAATCAAAATTTGATTTGCATAGCAAGTTATAGACAAGTATGAAATTGTATTACATGGTTTCGAGGTAAAGTCCAACGTACAAGGTTTGATCGATTTAGCTTAACACAAGCGGTTTCATTTCCCGGTTTTTTTTCTTCAATGTTTATATCTTTGATAGAATATTACTGGCCAGTGTCAACAATAACGAATTCTCTTTGGAGGCAAATCTGCCTGTTGGATAAACATTTTTCTAGATTTTCAATGTATCCGTCCGTTGTATTTTAACAATATGTTTTAAAGTAATCTATGTTTTGTAATTAATAGGACTAGTCTCAGACGCCATACAGGGAGCCCAATGGACCTCGATGACCTTACATTTGATCAGGGAGAACATGTGTTCATTTCTTATAGTAGTGAAGACTATAGGGTGGTGTTAAAGATAAAGGACGCTCTCCTCAAAAAAGGTAAAAAAACAAGTGCGCAAAGAAAACAGGGATAAATTAATTGATATTATCCATGTGACAAACAATATCTGAGTAATAATTATAATGATAATAAGTTCATGGATCATGCATTATAATGTGAAAATTTGCTTCTGTATACGTGTTTTGTTAATGAACCCAGGAGGTTGGTTGAATATGAGAAGTGTGCTCCTTTTAGAAAGACAAAAACAGCGAAAGAAGTAGTCTGAATGATTCTACCTATCTCCCTGTGGTTTCACTGTTCCATCATATATGTTTCCTAACTGTCGCGGTGTTGTAAAATTATATAAAATACTGCTTGAATGCAAGGCTTTCTCAAAAAGGACCATAAATACATTGGAAGCTGAATGCCTACTCTGAGAGTCACGTCGACTGTTAAAATGCGCGGTAACATTGTGTGACAAAACAATTACATCATTCATTGTTAGAAAAGATACAATTCGTCCACGCTTTTCGGCTGTAAGACAATTCGTCCACCGCTTTTCGGGTGTCAGACAATTCGTTCACCACTTTTCGGGTGTCAGACAATTCGTTCACTACTTTCCAGGTGTCAGACAATTCGTCCACTGCTTTTCGGGTGTCAGACAATTCGTCCACTACTTTTCGGGTGTCAGACAATTCGTTCACTACTTTCCAGGTGTCAGACAATTCGTTCACTACTTTTCGGGTGTCAGACAATTCGTTCACTACTTTTCAGGTGTCAGACAATTCGTCCACTGCTTTTCGGGTGTCAGACAATTCGTTTACTACTTTTCGGGTGTCAGACAATTCGTTCAATACTTTTCGGGTGTCAGACAATTCGTTCACTACTTTTCGGGTGTCAGACAATTCCTTTACTACTTTTCGGGTGTCAGACAATTCGTTCACTACTTTCCAGGTGTCAGACAATTCGTCCACTGCTTTTCGGGTGTCAGACAATTCGTCCACTATTTTTCGGGTGTCAGACAATTCGTTTACTACTTTTCGGGTGTCAGACAATTCGTTCACTACTTTCCAGGTGTCAGACAATTCGTCCACTGCTTTTCGGGTGTAAGACAATTCGTTCAATACTTTTTGGATGTCAGACAATTCGTTCACTTCTTTCCAGGTGTCAGACAATTCGTTCACTACTTTCCAGGTGTCAGACAATTCGTCCACTGCTTTTCGGGTGTCAGACATTTCGTTCACTACTTTTCGGGTGTCAGACAATTCCTTTACTACTTTTCGGGTGTCAGACAATTCGTTCACTACTTTTCGGGTGTCAGACAATTCGTCCACTGCTTTTCGGGTGTCAAACAATTCGTTCACTAATATTTTAAATATGTTACTTTGAGATACATCTGGACATGATGCATAGATATTTTTGTAAAGTGCAATAAGTCTATCTATAGATATAGATATCTATCAGAGATAGGTGATCTATTGATACGACTCCATTCCACAGGGATTTCCAGCTTTGTAGCTTCCACATCGATAGCAGCCGGAACCCCTACCATAGATGGCATAGTTCATGGTATAAACAAGTGCAAGAAAGGTTTATTCCTGGTCACCGAGAATGCTCTCAAGAGTTCCTGGTTTGCTTTCGAGAGCATCTTAGCCATAGAACGTTCCCAGCAACTTGGTAAAGTTGGCGCAGTGATACTGCTGCACGGTGTATCAGAAGACCAGGTACGTAATGCAACATTTTAATTGATTATTATATACTTCGTGGTGACGTTGCGTGAATATAGTCAGACAAATATATACAAACAAGATTTAGACAGGTGTCGGACTTGAGATTACGCCAATTTAGTTCATGTAGTCATGAACGTTTTGTCTGCAGCAGATGCAACATATTCCCTCCACAAAGACGACACAGCTGTATGATGCAGTTCAATACATTATTTGGCTCTACTCTGAATTATGAAAAAAAGGTGCTAGTCACTTGTGTATATTTTGTACAATCTATATAAACCTACATACAAGACATTTATCTGTTTAATTTTAAAATGTTGGTCATACCTGGCCAACCAGTGACCCTCTCGATCATTCTTGTCTGCCTTGTCTATGTTTCAGGCCTTGTTCATTGATCAGGTCATTGATAGCTGTTCAAGTGATCAACGATTTCCTTCTAAAGTCAATTTCATCCGACAATGTTTCAAGTGTTTAGATGACAGTATTAGACACCCATAACTATACCGCTGAGACCTTCATTGAATGATCTTTAACTTGTATAAATCTTTGTGATTGTTACTTTCTACAAGCCTTTCTCTTCTTTCAACTTTATCATCTGGATATTTGTAAGAAGACAGAGATACATGTAATGTCCAATCCTCGTATCAGAATTTAGTGATACAAAATCAGGTGTATAGAAATATAAACGGCATGTCAACTTAATGGATTTTATCGTTTTCATTGTGACGATAGCGAATGCAGTCCCTCTGAATGATGTCTAATTTTAAATACAAGTAGTATTTCTATGATGACATTTCTGTTGCAGCTTCCGAAAATGGCAATGTTAGACATGATGCCTCGCTTCAATATGTCCATCGATTCGGATGGTGACTGGACAGCAGAACAAGTCCAGCTTGTAGTGGACACATTACAAGGTATACGACATTACACACTTGTAGCAATATTAGTTATGGTAAACATGGTCCTGTGTTTATTGCCCGTTGGCGCGAGAGTCATTTTGAAACGGATACTCCTTGTAGTATATGATTGTTATTTCACAGAGCAGTATGTGAGAGGCCTATCGCAAGCTCTCCAAAGCAATTTGGGGGAAATTATCTTGCGCAAGTGCATATTCTAAACAGCACTGGATGATCAGTAAAATTAGTTTCATATTAAACACAAAGCTTGCTCAGGTTGTGATCGAACCACTCACCTCGGATTTTCAAAGGAAGTTGATGTTCAGACATACCATAAATAACTTACTATGATGCTAACAATACTTCTGTGATAAAAATTGTAAAATCAGGATATAAAACAAACAGAAAATACCAAAATGATAGAAAAATATTACAGAATGTCAGTTAATATCAGGTCTTAGTTGATAAACAAATCTTAAATCAGATTACAATGACGTCAATATATTTGTTAACCTTCATTGATATGCATATTAGATCTATTTTTTTCTTTATAAACAGAGGAAAAGTTTATTGATTGTGAATTACCTGTCGGGAATGTCGCACATGCACAAGCCTGGTCACATTACTTTGGCTATCATAACATCGTTCATACACGTAAGTATATATGTGTAACAATAAGTATTTTGTTGTACAATTACGCAGCCACAACCAATGAAATTCACCATTAAATATGGTGGCCCCATTAAATTGTTTATACTAAAGGTAACAAATATCTGTTTTTAGGGGAAAATGATTAAGATAAATCCAAAACATCACCTTCAAAGAAAATGAAAATGCAAGGAAATAACCAGAATTGCTATTACAAATATCTGCTTTTAGGCGAAAATGATTAAGATAAACTCAAAACATTAACTGCAAAGAAAAAGAAAATACAATATAATTACGAGAATGTTTTGTATTAACCCTCAGACTTGGAGCAGAGAATTAAGGAGTGTATGTGGTATAAGGAAAACCCAACCAATATGCCAATCAAAATATATGAATTGGTGCCGCAATCTTGTATCACTCCATGCATCAAGGACCAAGGACTGGAAAGCGTTGGAACTTTGGCACCCATTGTCGTGACCAGAGCTGGCAATAAAACTAGGCCATATTCACTGAATGTGTACTGTATTCAAGATGGCGATGAGGTATTTATAACGAGATGTCACGTGATATATATTATATAGCTTGTGAATTGTTGTGTATCTTGTATCGGTCTGTGTGGATGTTTGTGCATTGTATTTTTGCGTTCGTACTCAGTATATTTATCTGAAGTATCCTTTAACGTATCCATAGTTTGTTTATTTTTGTCCCAGGTACGAAAAGCACGTTTGGTTACTTTGTTTTTCAATATTTCCGTGTAACTATGTACATCAAAATTAACATTAACTGACACTTTTACAAGGCCAATACCAGGATGTATGCCAATGGTTTTGACAAAGTCAGACTGTTAATGTAATAACACGTCACTAAATCGACCTAAAGCGAATTTAAGCCGTTTGGTCTTGCCTCATTTCGCATATGTTTGACTTTTTAAATGCTTCTTGTTTAACATGTGACGCGTTTGAATATACCTTTTCACTGTGTATGTCATTTTTAGGAGCATGGAAATGTACATATTCGACAAGATCAAGGCCCAGATTGAAAGTCAGTTACAAGAATCCAGCTGATTAGAGTGTTGTTTGTTTTACAGAAATACTACTGCATTGCACAGTATCCAAATGTTTTGAGTGCTATTCGTAAGATGGAAGAGTCATCCTTCGTTCAAATGGACGCCCAACACAGAGAGTTACAACTGTCTAGATTCTTCTACACACTGAACTCTATACTTCACCATTCGGTCACCACGCCGTGTCACAACCAGTCCAGGCTGCTGCTTTTTGATGGTGAGACACGCCCTTTTGACTTATGGTCATGTTGATTACTGTCGGAATGTTGATATTGATGTAGAGAAGAGATTTGTTATTGTGTAAATGGAAGCTTTAATATACTTTGTTCAGGGAAACTTTCGCTTTGTTATTTTGTCATTTTGCCAACAAAAACCCCAGCTAAAGTTTGATATTTGAGCTGATTTGTAAATTTTGTAAGTTGAAGTGAATTTTACATGGGACGAAAATTGATATTGAACGTTAACATTATTTCATGTTTCAGACAGCACTGAACGGCCAAAGGATATTTTATTGAAAGCAATCAGACAAGACGTAAAGGTAAGAAATGGTTTATAGTGCTGCTATCTACAGTTTAAGGCATTCTTGTGTGGAAAAGTTTAACGAAATAACGTGTAGAGACATAGTAGGACTAGTACATTGATAAAAACAGACAAGCCTACAACAAAATCAAAACACTAAACGTGAATATAGAAAGACAAGGAAGTAAGACCAAAAATACTTTACCACAAAGAAAGTAGCATTTGATGATAAGTAAGTTTACAGATAAAGTAATGCTAGAGAACAACAAAGTAGAGAACGAATAAAGATATAATAGAATAGGAATAAGTCAACGTTTATTTTACTTTGATTAAAGGCATAAAAATGTTTTTATTCTACCATAAATAACACTAACACTAGAATAACAATGATATGAAATGAGTCACACCAGGCTATTACATCAATTAATTAAAATGTGGACATGAATAAAGAGATATAGGAATTCGGTAACACAGAATTTTAAAGACAAAAAATACAATATTTAAAGATTAACGTAAGCATACAAATAAAATAATAATAGCTTTTGCTTAGTACTTTAACACGAATAGGTAAAAAATAAACACAAGGACAGATCGTCCACACATTGCACACCAATAAGGGCACAACAGAACTCGAAATTATCATTCAAGTAAAAATCTACTACTGATCCATTCGTTTATTAAGTTACTTTAAAAAACAAATTGAGCTGGATTAAAAAAAGGAAACGGCAACACTGTTGTATTTAAAAATGAAGTATATATATTATATATAATGTAAAACTAATACTTTTTTTCAAAATACCTGAATACAGAATAAGTACAATGCGATATAGAAACTAGATAGAACTACATCTACACAATGTCTAGCCTAATTATTCCTAAGGTTTTCCATAGAATAACTAAATAAAAACAACATCCGGTCCTCAGCAAACGCTAAAATGAGACAGAAATTGACATTAGTTATTTGTTTACTTTTACATCGAGATTACTAATGTATGCAAATGACCATTTTTAAAATAACAAATTTAAACTTTAATTTTCATTTTACAGAGAGCCTCATATGAGACATTAACCAGGGAAATCCGACTTCCTGCTAGTGCAACTAGAGAATCAGAGTTCGATGTTGTCATCCTATACAGCAATGCTAAAACGCAAGACAAGGAAAGGAAAGAGGAGATAGAAAATTACCTGAATATGCGAAATTTGAAAGTACATCCAGATGTTTGTAAAACGACTGAAACCAATCCATGGCAAAGTACGATTTGGAAATTTGAATTTCTAACAAAGTTGTGATATAGAACTGGTTAACATCATACCTTTGAACCGTGTTAACTTGAACTCGTATAACTCAAAGACACCGTTTAATTCTAAGCATTTCGTCGCTCCATGCCTAACTTTACACAAAACATTCGAACGCGGTTATCTCGAAGTTTCCCCATTGGTCCCGTCGAATTCCAGATAACGAAGTTGAACTGAATTAGAGATGTCAAATTTTAGTGCATGCATTAACTGTTGTGTTCTGCATTAACTAAATCCACTGATAAGGATAAATATTGTAATGGTCAGGTTATATTCGTATTTTCTTACACAGTCAGCAATGAGAACCTTTTCATGTTGGAATTCTGTAATAAAACATGTTTCAATTTCTTTTATTTCACTTATCAGAGTTGGAGGATGCCCTTGAAAAGAGTCGATGGGCGATGTTAATCATCACACCTAACTCTCTACAAGATGCTGTTATGAACATGAAGATAATGGCGCTACTTGAAGCATCCATCAGTGAAAAACGACTGAGGGTGATTCCGGTGATCGATGAGTTATCCGCGGAATGCCTACCGGAAATGCTAAAATGGGTCACCTACATCAACGTGCGCACAGAGAATTACCATGAACAAATATATCGTGCTCTAAAAGGTATTTAAATTTACAATAATTGACATTGGCAGTCATTTGAATTACAATTGCAGATTACATGGTACATTTACGATAATATCGATTGTAAGGAAGGATTTTCGCTGCATTTAGAAACAAAAAAAATACTGATCGTATACGAGCCAAATACCATTTCTGAAATTTTATTTTCGACATTTGAAAAATTTCATTATCATAACTTATATGCTAATGTTTTCATTCAATATATAGATGTAATTGATCTATTATGAATAAACTTATTTGCTTATTTTCCTCAATTATTTTAGTGTGATATACCAAAATGTATTGATCGGCCTTTCTGCAAAAAACTTTGCAAAGAACAGTACTTTTTATAGAATCAAAATTTTAAGATACTAAATATCAAAAGTTAGACGACGATTTTTTTTACATAAAATAATAGGACGTAAGAGAAAAATATTGCCTAATTTCGTTTCAGGAGAAGATATTCCCCTAGGCCTAGACGCTGCTTATATCCCAGCAGGTAATCTTGGCTATGGGCTGGCGTGGGGTTACTTTGTCAACTACCTGCAGTCAGTTCTCCCAAGTGAGTACATATTTGATTATTCATAACATGCAACAATTTTAGAGTCATTTTTTTAAAATAATTAAATGCGATACGCTTCTTACTATATTGAGATCCACTCATCTGTTCTATTGTAACCGCATTACTTTAATAAAAGAAAAAAAATAATTCTATGGGAATAATATTCTTGATATTCTGTTTGAATCATTCAATACTTGATATATCTATTTATCTGTTCATTTTTGCAATTTATTTGAACCTTCACCGTCGTTTCCTGAGTTTCAATCATTTAAGCACTTAGTATCATTGACAACCACTAGTTGGACGAAACAGATGTATGATGCTGCTAAATTTAATGTTTTGCTCTGTTGTATCTAATTCTCGTTTTAAATTGAAATGTCTTATGTACTTGTGTCTTTTGATAATCGTCTGACGTAAGTGTTTGTATATCTTCTGAAGAGTTTGGGACATATCTGGAACAAGTATTGAAAGAACACGCCGAAATAGTGACCTGTCCCGAAAAGTTGTACCTGTTGGTCCCGAGCAGCTGCGTTTGTGCAGGTCTGATCAGTGATAGATGTCCCTGCGTTGACTATACCATCTCCTTTGCCAGGATACCTGAAAATCTAGGAGGAGCCAATGTAATAAAAACTCTTGATATTTACAGCATAACAGAAAATGACAACGCTGGATCAAAGGTAAACAAGCGTATTTCTTGCTTTGTTTTATTTATATTGACATGTGTTTGGTGTCTTCTTTGGGAACTAAACATGTCACTTACTAATTATTACATAATTCCATAATCCCCTCCATAGGTCCGCCGCCAAACATATCATATATATATAATTATCTGATATATGAATATTACAAAATGCACCTACTCGTCTAGAAGGACGAAACAGCTGTTAGGTGCAGTTTAATTCATTGTTTGGCTATAACTCTTAATTATTAAAATGTGTTATTCACTTTAGTGTCTTTTGTACAATCTTACAGAAGTACTATTTCATCGGACAATACCTAACCCCGATACTGTGTCTGTGGGAGATGAATAACTCTCGGTTAGCTGGTGTCACTGAAGAGTCAATGAGGAAAGAGAGTAAACGATTTTGTTATACACTGAATAGTCTACTCGAGGGACCTGTGGGCGACGGACTTCAAACCAAATGTGAACTTGTCCCTTTCAATGGTAAATATTAACGTTGTTAGTTATTTTACTTCAATATGACAGTGGATTTATATTTAGTTTACTACAATAGCTTCATTATAATACTTGATTTCTTATTGATTGTTGTCAAGAAACAGAAGTTTGGGTAGTTTCGTATTTCCTGAAGAGTTTCATATTAATGGTAGAGTTAGAAGAAGTAGTTCGGAAGTAGTTTTGTATTTGGTGAAGAATTTCGTATTAATGGTAGAGTTAGAAGAATTATTTCTTGAAAAATTTCGTATTAATTGTAGAGTTAGAAGAAGTAGTTCGCAAGTAGTTTCGTATTTGGTGAAAAATTTCGTATTAATGGTAGAGTTAGAAGAAGTAGTTCGGAAGTAGTTTCGTATTTGGTGAAGAATTTCGTATTAAAGGTCGAGTTAGAAGAAGTAGTTAGGAAGTAGTTTCGTATTTGGTGAAGAATTTCGTATTAAAGGTCGAGTTAGAAGAAGTAGTTAGGAAGTAGTTTCGTATTTGGTGAAGAATTTCGTATTAAAGGTAGAGTTAGAAGAAGTAGTTAAGAAGTAGTTTTGTATTTAGTGAAGACAATAATTTCTTAAGGCAGCATGTGAAACATTTAAATACGTTGCCAGTATATGTCAGCATGATAAAGTATTTTCCTCGTTGGTATATCGTTATTATTATCTCGGTAACACTTTCCTGTAACCTATATTACAATATCCTTGGATGAAGAGCAGTTATTTTATATGTTATAGGTTACTGTGACATTTGATTTTTCTATGCTTCAAATTCTCGCGGTTTTATCAAAGCTTTGAGCAATAAGGATGTTTTAAAGAAGTAATTCATTCTTGAAAGAAATTATTTGAAGTAGTGTAACAATCATTATTGAATATTCTATTTTCTGGGCCTTTTAACATAATTATATTTTAAGTATTTTGTGTTTTCCAGACAGTGACCCAGAGGACATTCGGAGGCAACTTATTCCACGTCTGCAACTTTAACTCGCAAGGAAATTTCACCAAAGATTGCAAAACGCTGTACTTGATGTTTTTTCTTTAGTTACAAACTTTCGTTTAGAGTTCATGGCCTCATGGATATGACACAAGAAAGATCATGTTTCCTGTCACCTACGATCCTATTGATGTAGTTAGACGTTCACCAGCAATGGAATATCAATCTGTCATTTCATTTTGCCTAAATCTTGTGAAACTCTCAGGTCATCTGATAAATATTTTATCTACTATTGAATAATATGACTTTGCAGAACTGATGGTTGTTAACAATTAAGCAAACGCGACCACTTTGACATGTATATATATCAAAACATGTTTATCTTGCTGTGATAACAAACTCTTCACCGCGGTGTGATAAATGATCCATGCAATGAATATATAACTTCCAAGAAGGCCATTTGATATATTGTAATTGTCTTAAGTGATTTGTGTCTGTATTGCCGATATTTTGTTTGCTTTGAATCAACTCAATTATATCTGTTTAATCACAAACTGAAACTATCTGTAAATGCTAAGAGAAATTGAATTCGATGAGTACCAATCATTTATATATTAAGACCATTCTTACATATTAAAACATTTTTAAGTTTTAGACATTTTAGTATATACCTTGAAATCATGATGAACTCTCTATTTATGATGGGAAAACATCAAACTTGTGTATCTTCCTACATTCTATGTGTTTAAATGATATTAACACGGCATATGTAAGCCGATTTTGACTAAAATGTCAAAGAAACTTCCTTGTTGAAGTTCAAGGAAACAAATACTCAATATTGCAACTTGAGAAACTGATTCTAGATTGAAAACGACCCTTGAGAATTTTAAGAGGTGTATGTTATTTCCAATGTGTATTATTATTGATAGTTGATAGTGAAATAAAGGCGGATGGATGGTGTGAAGTGGGCGTTCCCTCTACAAGTCCAGGCCTCATGCATCCGCCCCTCTGTTTTGAAAGTGATTTATGGTTTTATGAACGAAATTGCAATTTTAGTGATGATAAGTTTACATAACGCGAGTCGGTTTTAATTTGATATCGAGTTAATTGGTATTTACTTTAAGAAAAGAAGATATTCAAACCTATGATGAATGCAACTTTAAGTACTATTTGATTATATCAAAGGCTCTATTAACGCAAATGATCACGTGGTTTACATCTACTGCTGTTTATGCGTTGATGACCTCTATGTAGATTTGTTTATGTATACATGTATAATATATCTTTGCTGTACACATGAAAGTGATATTTCAGATTTGTCCAGGTGTCATCAAAATGTACTTTCTATAATCTCTGTATATTGTCCCAAATCATAAACGCTTCTATTCTCTCATATTCTAGATATTTGTTTAAAATATCGATTTTTCTATAACATCACACATGGTATTACATTTTCTTATCACGTAAATAGGTTTTAATTAGTTGACGGAAAAACTGTTTAGATATGAAAAAAAATCGTGTTTCTAAATTTATAAGAAAAGCGTTTCGTAGAGATATGACTGCGATTTCTAAGACTGTACTAAAGATGCAAAAGTGAATATCACATTTTAATACAAATTTAGAATTATATTTTAGATAAATTAGTATCAAGCAACGAATTAAACTGCATCATACAGCTGCTTCGTAATTCATTGACTCGTCACTGATATTGAAGGCCAATATTCTGAAGCCTAGTAGGCGACGGAGGAAAATAAAACATGATCGAAAGGAGGCTGTTTGATAAGCGTGATAATTTTCAATTTCTCTTTTGTAAGTTTTCCATTTCTGGATAGCAACATCCCTGAATCCCCATCCAATGTGTTTAAATGTCGCAGGTGATTAGATTCGCAAGATCTTGTTCCTATTATCAGGATTTTCGTGCAAGAAGTAATCAACAGACGGACAAACTCGTAACACTGGTTACGGTCGTCATAGAAATAGCATTAAGATTGAGAAATAATTCATTTCTTTGTGCGATATGAAGCTGGATATCTTTAAGACTCATTTGTTTTCCTGTTTGTTCCGTTGTATACATTTTTCTCATTTACGAAGGTGACATTAATTACTTGGATTGTCCAGGTGTCGTCGATGAAGCAAAAAACGCTTACTCTTAAGGAACTCTTGGTATTTTTCTCCTTGTGTTTTTTTTTTCAAAAGTCTCCGTGTAAATCTTTCTTTTGTTCATATTCTGACTTAATTTTAATGAATTTTGGGTTGGATTATGACTATCCTGACATTTGTATTTTTATTTTCTTATTTCTATTAATAAAACCTATGCTAATTGACATTATTAGGTCATCTGGACCCGAAGGGTCCGATGACCTATAGTCATCATGCTTCGTCCGTCGTCGTCCGCCGTGCGCCGTCCGTAAACTTTTCATTCAAACGACTTCTTCTCAAATACTAGAAGGTCTAGGGGGCTAATACTTGGCACAGAGGATACTGGCATGGAGCTCTACCAAGTTTGTTCAAATGAATGACCTTGACCCACTTTAAAGGTCACAGGGGTCAAATATGTTAAAATCTTTAAACAACTTCTTCTCATTAACCAAAAGGCTCAGAGTGTAGATATTGGGCCTGTGACATGCTGGGATGAAGGACTACCAAGTTTGTTCAAATGAATGACCTTGACTCACTTTAAAGGTCACAGGGGTCAAATATGTTAAAATCTTTAAACAACTTCTTCTCAATAACCAAAAGGCTCAGATTGCTGATATTGTGCCTGTGGCATGCTGGGATGAAGGGCTATCAAGTTTGTTTAAATGAATGACCTTGAACAACTTTCAAGGTCACAGGGGTCAAATATGTCAAAATCTTTAAATAACTTCTTCTCAAATACTAGAAGGCCTAGGGGGCTAATACTTGGCCCATAGCATGCTGGCATGGAGCCCTACAAAGTTTGTTCAAATGAATGACCTTGGCCCACTTTCAAGGTCACAGGGGTCAAATATGTTAAAATATACAAAGGACTTCATCTCAATAAGCAAAAGTCTATGAGTGCCGATATTGGGTCTGTAGCATGCTGGGAGGAAAGGCTACCAAGTTTATTTAAATGAATGACCTTGAACAACTTTCAAGGTCGCAGGGGTCAAATATGTCAAAATCTTTAAATAACTTCTTCTCAAATACTAGAAGGCCTAGGGGGCTAATACTTGGCCCACAGCATGCTGGCATGGAGCCCTACAAAGTTTGTTCAAATGAATGACTTTGGCCCACTTTCAAGGTCACAGGGGTCAAATATGTTAAAATATACAAAGGACTTCATCTCAATAAGCAAAAGTCTATGAGTGCCGATATTGGGTCTGTAGCATGCTGGGAGGAAAGGCTACCAAGTTTATTCAAATGAATGACCTCAACCCACTTTCAAGGTCACAGGGGTCAAATATGTTAAAATATACAAACGACTTCTTCTCAACAAGCAAAAGTCCATGAGTGCTGATTGGGCCTGTAAGATGCTTGGAGGAGAGGCTACCAAGTTTGTTCAAATGAATGACCTCAACCCACTTTCTAGGTTTGGCTTGCTTTTTGTCAGATGACCGTTAAGGCCCATGGGCCTCTTGTTTTCTGTAAACTTATTTAATTGCTGAGATCTGAAAAAGAAAAGTTAATGCTGAATTAACCTGATGATATAAATGACGTATATCCCATGTAAATAATGTATTATTAGACTTACCCGGTAGAGTTTAGACTCGGAGGCTGATTTTGGGGTTGATAAAAAAAAACCAGGGGCCATTTAAGTTTTTGACAACGGACGATTGCTATGACTATTTCTTGAAAAATACTGGATGACATATTTCTAAAATTTTCATATGTAGGCTGTGCGCGTTCGGCGACTGATCAGAAGGCAATATGACTTACAGGTGTGTGGGGGTATTGGGGCAGCTTAGATTTTGACTATAAAAGTTTGTTTTCTCAATTTCTTGAGAAGGGCTAGATGGAACTTTCTTAAAATTTTAAGGTAGGTTCCGCTTGTTTTTGAGTTATGTTAATTTAATTTTGGGACTGATAAGTAAAAGATAAAAAGAACGGAAAAGATCAAACGTTTGAAGTACATATGAAGATCGAACCATGGTTGGCATCAAGCTTCCTCGGGGATTTCTTGGTAAGATTACCCTGTTGTCACCACTGTCCATGATAATTTAGTATTGTTGTGCTATATTTTGATTAAAAGGAAAATAATCTTGGAAAATAACAGCGAATACGGAATAACAAAATTATTAAGAATGATCAGAGGAAATTATACCTTACCATAATTTCATATTCTGACTCCATGGCGAAAATCTGCAGCAACATATCATTTTTAATATTAGGTTTCTTAAACTTATTTTTATCACACAACCCTCACTGTTCACCACCACCCCAATCCTCTTAGGTTGGGGCTATATCATATCACGTTGTCTATGTGTGTGTAATTACGATATGAAATGAACCCATAAACAGATTTAGTTCATATCCACTGAAGCATCACCTTTCCAGCGTTTTCACGTGTAAGATATCGTTGGACATTGGTGAAGGTTAAAGGAAAGAGGTCACATTTAATAAAATTTGAAGTAAAAATCCTGTATACAACATATACTATGAATCAAAGTTTTACTGCATATTCAAACCATAGCTTCACTCCGCCAAGGTCTACAGCGAATAACATCAAAACGATATCAGTCAAGGTCAAGGTTAAGGTCAGAGGTCATCCTTAACACATCATCGACAGATTTAGAGCAGGAAAAAATAATGAGGGGTGGGGATATATCTATGTGAGCCTTTGCTCACAAAGATATTGTTTTGTTCTTGTCTTTTGTTTTGTTTTTTGGAGTTTTTTTTTCGGAAATTTTTAACAACTTAATAACAAAGAGACCTTCCTTGTGACTTTGATGTGACTACATATCACACGATCAGGTCATGAACCTTATGTTAAAAAAATGTTTCAGAAAACAGAATTTGACCAATCATGATCCAAGCACATTCAAATTCCTGTGTAATTATGGGTTTAAAGAGCTGAACATACTAAAACACGGAACAAAAAAATGCTAAGATAACAAAAAAAACTTGTACAAAGACTGGTGATTAATACAGTATAGATATAAGATATCGTCGCTTGCCCCGTGGAGTATTACATAGTGAATAGTATATTCATTGCAGCGTCAAACTGACATCTATAGTATTGAAAATATTTCACATCATTTATGATAAATCCAATCTAGGCCTACACATTTCCGTTAGATATATTTTTACGCCGAAACTAAATCTAACAATACGCATATTCTTCATACTGATTATTTAATCTGGACTTACACTTCCGGTTACAATAATTTCTAAAAAATCAAATGCTCACATGCAACTTCCGGAGCTGAAGTTTCCTTGTACTTACAAACTATCAGTGGACAAAAGATTTTCTTGCGTAATAAATCTTTGGGAAACTTTATCCGCTTTTTACAGAGCGGGTTCTAGTATCAAATGGGCCGGAAACAATTACTCAGTAAGGTGATAATACATTACATTTGTCTTTTTTAATTTTATATAGCAACATATTCCTTATTCTAAAAATCTCATATGTAACCACACAGAGAGGATGACTGAAAAAAAATCTAAAATAAACATTTTTAATATTTGGTTTCTTAAACTTAAAATTATCAATAGATCAAAGGACATTTTTATATATGTTACCACACAGAGAGGATGACTGAAAAAAAATATAAAATAAACATTTTTAAACTCCAGTGGTATGTTAACATCCGGACTTCCAAAAAGTATCTGTTTCCTTAATTAACTTAGACAAAGTATTCCGTGTGCGCAGAAAAGGCTCGGTTTTCTGGAATAACTTTGATAAACAGTCAATAGCCATTTCCTTATTGTGTTATTGATATTTGACAATCGATGACCAATCACAGCTGAAGTTTGTAGTTGGTAAATAGTGTTGTTATCACATCAGGTAGTGAACTAGTTTAAGGCTATGACAACATTGATAAAACCATACTCTACCATTGTAAACGATTTTTAGATATAATGGGTACACTGTTTATTTTTTTGAGAAGTATACCGGGCCAAAAACACAAGCAGAAATCCGTAATGGCGACAGTTGATATAGAAATTGCAATATAAGATAGAAAAAACGGTAGCGGTTCCACTTTTGACATTTGGTGTAGATTCTGACGGAAGTAAAAAGTGTTTAGGACTGTTGTGTATTAAATTTATTGTTGTTCATTAATCGCCGATGTCTTAAATACCTCTATTCTAACGGAGCGCAATTTATACTATGTCATGTTCTGTGACGTCATTGACGTCATGATATGTGACGTAAATGTCTTTTTTTGTAAGATAAGTCATTACACAGGTCTAATAAGTAGACTACAATTTGGCTAAAAGGTTGAGTAGACAAAATTAAACATCTCGAATTCAATTTTCATTTTATGAAACTGAGAAGATTTCATAGTCAGTTGTTTATAAATAACAGACAAACCTATATAAACTATCTCCCCCCCCCAATCCCCCCCCCCAAAAAAAAAAAAAAAATAAAATTACTTTTTTGTAGACATTTAATTGCTCAATAGATTAACTCTTACTGATCTTAACAGTTCGACGACATGTGGATTCGCTGATTGGGAATAATGATTAATTCACCGAAAAACAAATCCCTCGCGAACATTTATGATTTTGCAGTAATTAACATGATATGCTTTTAGACAATTTGGAAAGTTTATAAAAAAATATTTGAGATAAACACAAACTAAAGGGAAGTGAATCACAAAGGAATGTCTCACGTACCTCCTACCAATATCTGTTCAATAGTACAATAAATCTCAAAACAACATGGACACCGACACCAAAACTAACAATGACACGGACACCGAGACCAAATCTGACACTGATATGAACACCAAGTCCCAAATAGACACTAACACGGACACCGACACCGACACCATAACTGACACTAACACGGACACCGACACGATAACTGACACCAATATGAACGCCGACACCATAACTGACATTAATATGGACACCGACACCATAACTGATACTAACACGGACACCGACACCATAACTGACACTAACACGGACACCGTCACAATAACTGACACTAACACGGACACCGACACCATTACAGACACTAACACGGACACCGACATCATTACAGACACTAACACGGACACCGACACGATAACTGACACCAATATGAACGCCGACACCATAACTGACATTAATATGGACACCGACACGATAACTGACACCAATATGAACGTCGACACCATAACTGACATTAATATGGACACCGACACGATAACTGACACCAATATGAACGCCGACACCATAACTGACATTAATATGGACACCGACACCATAACTGATACTAACACGGACACCGACATCATAACTGACACTAACACGGACACCGACACCATAACTGACATTAATATGGACACCGACACCATAACTGACACTAACACGGACACCGACACCATAACTGACACTTACACGGACACCGACACGATAACTGACACCAATATAGACACCGACACCATAACTGACATTAATATGGACACCGACACCATAATTGACAGTAACACGGACACCGACACCATAACTGACACTAACACGGACACCGACACCATAACTGACACTAACACGGACACCGACACCATAACTGACACTGAATGGAGATCGACACCATAACTGACACTAACACAAACACCAACACCATAACTGACACCGACACCATAACTGACACTATCACGGACACCGACACCATAACAGACACTAACACGGACAACGACATCATAACTGATACTAACACGGACACCGTCACAATAACTGACACTAACACGGACACCGACACCATAACAGACACTAACACGGACACCGACATCATAACTGACACTAACACGGACACCGACACCATAACTGACACTAACACGGACACCGACACCATAACTGACACTAACACGGACACCGACACCATAACTGACACTAACACGGACACCGACACCATAACTGACACCAATATGAACGCCGACACCATAACTGACATTAATATGGACACCGACACGATAACTCCGACACGATAACTGACACCAATATGAACGCTGACACCATAACTGACATTAATATGGACACCGACACCATAACTGATACTAACACGGACACCGACACCATAACTGACACTAACACGGACACCGACACCATAACTGACACTTACACGGACACCGACACCATAACTGACACCAATATAGACACCGACACCATAACTGACACTAACACGGACACCGTCACATAACTGACACCATAACACGGACACCGACACCATAACTGACACTAACATCATAATTGACACCGACACCGACACCATAACTGACACTAACACGGACACCGACACCAATATGAATAACTGACACTAACACGGACACCGACACCATAACTGACACTAACACGGACACCGTCACAATAACTGACACTAACACGGACACCGACACCATAACTGACACTGAATGGAGATCGACACCATAACTGACAATATGAACGGACACATAACTGACACAACACAATAACACCATAACTGACACCGACACCATAACTGACACTAACACGGACACCGACACCATAACTGACACTAACACGGACACCGACACCATAACTGACACTAACACGGACACCGACACCATAACTGACACTAACACGGACACACCATAACTGACACCATAACTGGACATTAATATGGACACCGACACCATAACTGACACTAACACGGACACCGACACCATAACTGACACTAACACGGACACCGACACCATAACTGACACTAACACGGACACCGACACCATAACTGACACTAACACGGACACCGACATCATAACTGACACACCATAACACGGACACCGACACCATAACTGACACTAACACGACACCGACACCATAACTGACACTAACACGGACACCGACACCATAACTGACACTAACACGGACACCGACACCATAACTGACACTGAATGGAGATCGACACCATAACTGACACTAACACAAACACCAACACCATAACTGACACCGACACCATAACTGACACTAACACGGACACCGTCACAATAACTGACACTAACACGGACACCGACACCATAACTGACACTAACACGGACACCGACACCATAACAGACACTAACACGGACACCGACACCATAACTGACACTAACACGGACACCGACACCATAACTGACACTAACACGGACACCGTCACAATAACTGACACTAACACGGACACCGACATCATAACTGACACTAACACGGACACCGACACCATAACTGACACTAACACGGACACCAACACCATAACTGACACTAACACGGACACCGTCACAATAACTGACACTAACACGGACATCGACACCATAACAGACACTAACACGGACACCGACATCATAACTGATACTAACACGGACACCGACACCATAACTGACACTAACACGGACACCGACACCATAACTGACACTGAATGGACACCGACACTATAACTGACATTGACAAGGAACCCTGCACAAAAATTGGCACTGACACGGACCCCGGCACAAAAACTGGCACTAACATCACCACTTACAATGACTTTGACACTTTAACGGATATTGACACGGACACTGACACCAATACCATACCGTTTCATGAATCTAACTTAATCGTGTTATTAAAAGTTGTGACCAGGCTATCCATTGAGACATCTGATTTTTACTTTAAAAAAATAATGAAAACTTGTGTTATGAAGTTTTGGCAAAGATGATTTGTACTTGTGATAAAAAGATCTTCAATTTCTTGGAAACGTATACTTTGCTGTATTTTTTGGCTGTAAAACGATTCAGTCAATATATAAATATAATTTGATGTGATTTTTACGTTGGCGTTGAAGAAATTATTAAGTTTAAAAGCTCTTGATCATCTCGAATTTGCAAGATTTTATCACCTACGTATTCTTTCCGATAGAACATGTAAAGTTTCCTTTGGGCATTACGGTCTATAACCACACTTATGATTCTCGCACGGACAAACTAAGTGATTGACACAAGCCGATAGCTTTTATTCACAATTGTTGCAAATAAATAATATTTGGTCCATACGTTTGTATTCAGGATTTGCTTTCTTATCAATAAAATGATTTGTTTTGTTTATCTCTCAAGTGTGGTCTTAAATACTTGGAATAAAATAAATTATATAACTACAGGTATTTGATATATACATTGTGTATATATATATATATATTTCGGAACTAATTCGATACGCCTACAGTTACGTGGGTGCCATTCAAACACTTGAACTACTCTGATTCATAAACGAAAGTTGGTTAAACCCATAGCTAAAAATAGAATAAGTTTAGTATGTTGTATTTTCAGATCGTATGTCTTTTTAATCGCCACAGTCCGACACCATGATACAGATATTTTTACCTGGTACCCACTGACGTAAATCTATCCCAGGTAAGTGAAGGACCATCTAACTAAACATGTAGCACATGTAGAGGAATGTGTGTCTGCGTGTGTGTGTTTTCATCTGTCTTAGACCAGACCAGACCAAACCACATAAACGTGTGTACCATAACATAAATAGGTGAGGGTGAATGTACTTTTGTCGAAAATCGCCTACTGTCGGTTAAATAACGTTTGTGTATAACATCCTGGAATCCATACTGATAAATTTGATCAAATGATTAATTCAAAGACGTAGGCTACATGTACAGGGTTAATCTATATATAGACGTTCTGAAATGACATCCTGTTATCTATAAAAGGATTGGCACGCACGTGTATGCCCTTAAATTTCCTTATATAGTTTCAGGCACTTAAAACAATTATGTGTTATTATCCTAAATTTTAACCTTACAAATTCAATATTCGTTATACAATCTTGCGGTAAAAATTGGACACGGTCAAAAACCAAACAAGTAGACAAAGGTAATATGTGTATCAAAATTGAAATCCACATGCGGTAAGACATTGGATGGTAACTTGATTTCACAAAACTACAAATCTAAAGGACAATTTTAACTTCTTTGAAACGGTGAAAATATATTACAGACACTGAGTTGTAAAACACGAAGATAGTGCTTAAAAGTCAAAACTATTTAGTTTTCATATTTTAGTAGGGTCATATAATGTGTTAATTAACCAACTGTTTACGTAGTTGGTTTTCATTAGAAAACAGGCTAGTTTCAAATCCTGCTGACGGAGTTTAAACTGAGTATATAATTGTCTTGTATTGACGTCACTAATGCTTAGATAATTAATTTAAGTTGAATTTCCTGTTTCAGTTTCTTAAAGTAGAAGTAGAATTGTCAAACTATAAATATTGATCTTGTTTTTAATGTGTTTATTTTTTATTTTGATTGTAGACGAAGCTGTGCTGTAGATAGACAATATGCCATCCTGATTCAATATGGCTGACCCATTAAACTCGCCTCAAGTATTCATCTCGTACAGTGCGAAAGATTTAGATTTAGTACGGGAAATTAAACGTGGTTTACTACAGAAACAACCAGGTATACATTTATTACGAACCGATGCATAGTGTCAATTTCATAACACTCCACACTTTTTTTTTCAAACCGTATTGTAAGGCCAAACAAAAAATATTTCCTTTTTACAGAAACCATACCTACTCTGATAACTTGTGCCCATCGTAAACTTTTAAAGGTAATTTTCAAATAAGCCCGTGAAAGTCTGAATCTCTCTCCTATATAAACCGTATCAAATTTTCTGTCTTTCACCTACCCTAAAGTTTCCCAATATAGTAAAGAAAGCATATATATATATTTTTGTTTTGCCCTATACTGATTATCTGTCTTGATTAACTAAATTGATTGTTGCGAGAGAGCAGCCTATGGCCGCGACAGGAACCTCTCAGATTGGACTACGGAAAAGAACCATGGTCTTCACTTTGTTAAGAAATTATTTCTTTTCGTTGTATTGCAGATAAATAACACACATGTACAATATATAATTTGATTACGTCGTCGTTATGAAAATTGTAATTTTTTTTTGTATAAGAAACATTCAATGCTTACTGTTAATTAAATCTTCTTACTTGTGTCTGTGTGAATATAAATTTTAGCAAACTTATATGATTGTCTCTTTGGTTTGGGTTGTAAATCATTATATAATTTAGGCGTATAAAATAGATATAAAATATAATTCAATATAAAAAAGTTTTTTTCTTTAACAAAAATACCAACATTTTTTCACGTGAACAAATTATGATTTTATTGTGTTTTTTATGAATACCTTCGATCACAACATTTGTGATGTGTCATCTCGTGTTTGTCTTCCGTAGAACTGAAGGTGTTTGTAGCCGCAGACAGTATCTGCGGAGGACAACGGACCATAGACAGTATTGTTGAAGGCATACATCGCAGCTCCAAATGTTTATTAGTTGTTTCAAAGAACTCCCTGAAGAGTTCATGGTTTGCCTTTGAAACGACTCTGTCTTTAGAATGGTCCGAACAGCTGGGCCGGTTCTGCAGTGTAATGCTCCTTTACGGTGTCACAGTAGACGAGGTAAGTATTCGTTATTCATTTAGACCGACGGATCACGAGCTTTCCCATTTAATTACGAAAACAAAAAATACCCCAGTTTGCGTCAATGTATTACATCAAACCTGAACAATTCATACAATGTAGCTCATTTCATTTTCAAATCATATTATTGATGGCATGTCCATTGCCGCTTATCCCGTAAATATTGTAAAATTTTCAAATTATCTTTAAAAAGTGAAAAATATATCATGTTTCTGGTTAACGGGAAAACTACGCCAGAGTTTTCGTTGAAATAATGTTGAAATGATTCAAAGTGTCAAGCAAGTCCGATCTGTGTGAATTTTCCGTTTCTCTGTGGCTATAATTCCTGCTGCCTTAACTGGCGATGTTTTAAAGCGGCTATTACCTTAGATTTCAACATTGGGAAAAGGAAAATTCGGCTTATGAATAATAAAATATATCCATATTAAAGTGATACACGCGCCTATAACGTCAAATTTGTTGTTTTTTTGTTCATATTTTCGGCATCGGAACATGGTTTATCTCGACTAAAGTTTATAAACATGTTTACGCTCGGTTGATTACGAAGAAAGCCGAGTGTGTCACATGTCTTGTCACGTGACGAAATCATTTACTTTCGCCGCAAAGAAAAAAAATGGATTACGAGGTAAACAAACGCACATGTCTTATGTATGACACTTGCTTTTGCGCCTTTCTGCTAATTCTTGTTTGCAGTAAATGATTCTATAGTGTCATAATATATAATTTTTAACAAGCAATATTAGTTATTCGTTTTGTTTTGGCTTTGTCGTGCGAGAATTATCTATGTCAATCGCGGGCGCTAAACTAGTGGGGCCCCAAAGGGGGTAATTACAATCGGAAAAGAAAAAAAATCATTGTGCAGAAATGCACAGGAATTGATACTTTGTCTGTACACATTGATAGATATTGCACTGTTTATTATGAAGCATATGTTTATCATCACGGTTGTTATTCTTACAGTAACACCAGTAACGTCATATTTTTATACTTTGAATTAATACCCCAATTGGGCCCCACCTTGCAGTCAACAACAAACACACGTTGCCAATAATAAATTCAAGCGAATAACACAACTATTTTCATTCAACATTTATCAGATAACACTTTTAGTAGTGTTGTTCATAACCTATCCACGCGTCAAACACTGGATATTGGATTATAATCAATGACAGGCGGATACGCTATAATTATAGGGATAACGTTAAGCTAACAAGTCCAGCAGCAGCTTCGCAAATTCCGAATCCGTATTCAGTCCAAGATCCTCCTTCATCTTTCGCCATCAATCAATCTCGTTTTTAATATTAATTCTTGCCTGTTCTCTTTTCCGGTCTGACTCCTTTCTCTTAGGCATTCTTGCACTTTCTGTAAGGTAACTTTTAGGTCCTCGTCGCTTTTTCGTATTTGCGTCCGCCATATTGCTTCTCTCTAGGCTTATACGCATGCGCAGCATCAGGGGTACGAGCTGTAATGTTTGAATTAGATCAAGACCGCACTGTTTACATTCTTTACATTTTAGATATCAATAAAAATGGCTGCAATGACTTTTAATTTTAGTAATTAACAGAAAGTCTTACTTTTGTAACATACTATTGGAAAATAGAACGTTTTATATCGTTTTCTCGGAGTGTTCTTCAACATTACAGTCGCTTTAAGGTTTTTCCCAATATCAGAATTTCCGTGAAGGGTGTCAACAGCTTATAACGCTGGTTTCGAAAGATGCAGGCTGATCATGCTCATTTTGAATATGATCTTATTTTAAAATATTCAGTTATCCTGTGCAATATGAGGTATCTTTTTTTCTGGTATGACTGGTGAGCATAAGACGCTTACTCTCTCGTAACACCAGGTTTTGTCACAAGGGTCTCTGTTTTCACATGTTTTGCCGTAGATTAATCGATTTCGCGTTTGAATCGAGATTTTATTGACTTGTCGATCTTTCCTTGTTTTCCTTGAAGTGCCAGAGGACCCCATTGGTCAAAAATGTTAATCATGATTGTAAATGATTGCGAATCTTGCGTTTAAACTCTTGATTATATTTAATTTGTAGCTTCCCAAATTTGCCCTGTTTGACATCATGCCGAAAATACCTATAAAATTAGACTCCAACGGCATCTGGAGGGATGACCAGATTTGTGATGTGATCAGAGCCATCCAAGGTAAACTAGCTTGTATTAGTCGGTTGATTTTTGAGGAGTGCTTTTGTTATCAACATTCACATTACAGCTAGATCATACGATTATGAAAGTACATAAATTACCATTCATCTAAATCTTACTCTTTTCTAACTTTGCAGTGGAAATTCCGATTGATCGCACACTTCCTGTGGGAAATGTTGCGCATGCACAAGCATGGTCTCATTTCTTTGGCTATCACAATGTGGTACACGGACGTAAGTGTTTACCATTTGGTTTTATTTGTACTCCATATCACGAATGAAAACTAATTTTACAATAAATGTTACATTTATATGTAAACGCTTGTTAGGAAGCGAGTATTGTTCTCGTAGACAACCACCATTCTTATCTGAAAAAGAAATTATTTAATCTTAGTTTACTTCAATGTAATTCTTTTATCAAACTTAATTATTGTATTTAAGTTTTAATATGTTATTATGTTTATTATGTACAGTTCTCGAACAGAGAATCCGGACGTCTAAATGGTACAAAGAAAACTCGACTAACTTCCCAATCAAAATTTACGAACTGGTATCAAAAAATTGTGACTCGTCTTCATTTACAAAGGACAAAAAAATACGTAATGTTGGATGTCTAGATCCAATAGTAGTGACCAGGGCTGGAAACAAAACAAGGCCGTATTTCTTAAATGTGTACTGCTTAGAGGATAGAGGTCAGGTAAGTAGGGCATAATTTTATTCATTTAGTTGACTTTAAATTACTTTCAAAATCTCGCGTGTCATTTGCATTAAACTCTTCAAAAGGCATCGATAAAATACTTAACCGGAAATAAAACCACGTGACAATTACAGTTTGAAAAATCAGAAGCACAATTGATAAGAATATAATGTGTAGATTTCCATCGAAATCTTTCTTAAAAGATTGTCAACTGTCATGTCTGTATTACAGAAATACTACTGTGTGGCACAATATCCAAACGTCATCAGTGCAATATTAAAGATGGAAGAATCACCTCACGTGCAAATGGAACCGTATGAAAAAGAGATGCAACTCGCACGATTCAACTTCACATTAAGTGTTATCTTGCATCACAATGTACACAAGACCTGTCATCGCCAGGCTCGCCTGCTGGAAATCGATGGTAGGTCTAGTTACAACACTTTAATACATATACTGTACACTGAAATATTTCCGCGGTTAATAATTTTCGTGATTTCAATCTCGATGGCAATATCGTGCGGAAGAAATATTTTGGTGTACGTTATCAGGCAACATACAGCATAATACCAACGTCATGTAAACAAAGATTGAACTACATACTGTTGAAGTTCTATTGTCGCAATTTTCAATAAATATTGCAGACTCGGGACAAAAAGGACTTGCATGAGGCTCCGACGTTTGTCTTTCTTCATTCTCATGAAAATACAGGCTATTACCACGTGTTTTGCAGCAGGAGATATTAAGTTAATATCATTTTACTGTAAATGCGTTTTTCGGTGGTTCAGATATTCGCAGCTCGAGGCAAAAGAGATTTTGATGATTTCACTAAAACTTCTTTTATCTATTTTTCACAAGGACCCCTTGAAAAGAACAATTTTTACTACACTTTCTTTAGAACTGAAATATTCAGCTTTGTTTTCAAACAATGCCTAAATGATAACTTGTGTTCAAATCAGAATGATAATAAAAATCCATTTAAAAATAGGTTTCTGCAGGTAAAAAAAAGTGGGAGTATCTGGGGGTCGAGACTGTCAGTATGGAAGGTTCGAACTTACATTAGCTAAAAACAGCTTGTTCAATCGGTAACTATTGCGATATAGTTTTGCCATGAAGATGCAATATCCTTGAATTTATGGACACATTTAACATCCCAATATGTTCAGTTCCCGAGTGCGCGATGAAATTATCTTGATATGTTCTTGTTTTGTATGTTTCCGAACACCACTAAGGAGGCCTAGAAGGACGAAATAACGGTATAATATTAGGTTATACTGTTTCTTTTGCATTAAAACATGTAGTTCACTTGTATTATCATTTAGGATTTGCTTTTTGTGAGAAACTTCTTTACTTCTCTAAAGTCCTGCCTCGGTTCTCCATCACTTCTTGGCGGTCACCCAATTTCGAACGACCGTGGGCATCAGAAAGATATCTTGTAACATGTAAACTTGAAAGGGTTGATTAGTGAGATGTTTTGAAATTGTAAGAGATTTTAGGTTACTTTTCCGGTTGAATGCCCTATCCCGATTACAGGTTCAGAATGTAATGATATGGAATCAATTTCCTTTTATTAATTTGTTAATGTTATTCTGCTTTTAGTAAAAATATTTGACAACAAATTTGATTATTACAAACTCTATGTCTATGATGCGAAAGAGAATGAAAGATTTACAAAAGACGCACAAGTCAATAACACCTTTTAATACGATTTAAGAGATCGACAAGGTAGCGCCACAAAATTAATTAAAACTACATCATACAGCTATTTCGTCCATTTATTACTTGTCAGCGAGGATTTCGGAAATGTTGACGAATATTCATATGATAGAAGTCAACATATTCTACTATTAACCATCTTCGATACTCCAGGGGTTACGATCACTTACGCTCTCTGCACCCATGAAACATATTTTTGGTAAATTTTTATAGCACAAAAGGAGTAATTTGATTTGTTCCAGGAGTTACAGCCTGATACGCTCCTTTAGATGATTATAGGGAGCGACACCTCAACTTCAAAGTCGTTACAATATACCGTTATGTGACCTCGAGATTCGTTTGATGTACATTAGAGCATCAAACTAGTCGTTGTCCTGTTCACAAGGTGTCGCCCACAAAATCTTCAACTTTGCCAGGGATGGCATTAGCAAAAGTGACCGTATTCACTTGAGTATCGAGGATGACTATTAACATATCATAATTCAACATAGAAATGATGAAAAAACACAATATTTTACAGAAACACAGAGAACAAGTGAAGTACTCTTGGAGGCCATTAAAGCAGATATAAGAGATGTGAGTGGTATTACAGAAAAGTCAGTATAAACCTATATGAACTTCGAATGAACGCCACACCTGTGGTGTTGTATGTCATATTCATTGTTGATGCTTTGAAAATGATTGATAACTTTTTCCATGTATAACAATATTCTTTTAAGTAGTAGACGAAATAACTCTAAAATACTTATTTTGTTACTATCAAATTTAAGCACAATATCGATCTTGAACAAATAAGCACAATTATTGATTTTCGCAAATTAACGATGTATAGGCACTTCAATTAGCGAGATTACTTAAGTGCTTAAATATGGTAATCGCTAAATATGTATCAATATTAAGACTAGGATATGATTTATTATCTGAATGAAATGTGGGAACGTTACCTGATCATATATCTAACGCCCTTCATTCTCTCTCAAGAAAATATCTCCCAACTGTGGAAACATTACTGGATCCAATGCGTTCACCGCAATGCTCTTATCACAGAAGACATGATATACTGTTTCAGGGAGAGTCGAATGAATCATGGTCAGGAAAAATTGCCACAAAGCAAATGGTTCACGATACTGAATTAGAGACGGACGGCGAAGAAGATGTCAAAGAGTTTGACGCCGTCATCATTTGTGCAGAAGGCGATGAGTCACGAGCATACGGAATAGAGGATTTTCTGATCGAAAGAAAACTCAGGATTAAACCTCTTTTGATTGGAAAAAGTATTTTTAGAGGTATTTAGTAACTCTTTCTGTCAATTTTGAATTGGAATGAAAACATCGCACATAATTACCTTGTACATGGTTTTGTTATAGGTTTGGTTTTGTATAGACAAGTTAATTGTCTTTGATTCGGAATTACAGCTGTAACCCCGCCAATAATGACCATTCTTTATCATTTTTGTGTCGTGGATACCTGATATGTAATTTCTGTTGTGCTGTCGCATTCCGTATATAATAAGGTCAAAATTGCCGTTCAAAGTTGCAATGGTCGAAAACAAAAACTATAAAATCATTTTTGCACTACGATTTCATTTTTATATGATTCGTGAATGAGACATATATGGGATGTCAAGGTCATTGTCATTTTGTAAGGTCAAGGAGGCATGTCAAGCAGAACCTTTTCACATGTGGTGATAGATCCCCGAATGAAATTATACACACTTGTGTTGCTCTAAGATGGTGTGTAAGCGTTTGAAGCCAAATTAAAGATACATAGATATATGACATCCGTACCTATTTAATAAGTGTGATGTGATGAATGTTTCGGATTTATTCTATGATTAATATTAAAAAATCAGCATTGACGGAAGTCATGAAAAGCTTCATCCTGTTAGATACATGTATATTCATTTTTTCATCATCATCATTATCATCATCACCATCATCATCATCATCATCATCATCATCATCATCATCATCATCATCATCATCTTCATCGTCATCATCATCACGAATGCAGGTATACATATCACTGTCCCTGATAGATATGTCGATATTACATTGTACAGATCTCGAGGACGCCGCTGACCAGTGTAGATGGATTATACTCATTTTAACTCGAAGTTGTCTTGAGGACGAAGCCTTCAACCTTCTTACGGTATCACTTTTAACAAACAGTATCAGCACAAAGAATGTGAGTATTATTCCGATAGTGGACGACTTGACAAGTGGTCGTATTCCTTCACAGCTACGGTGGATCACATACATCGACATGCGAACTAAAGGATACAAAGAGCGCATCTATAAAGCATTGAAAGGTAAGAAAATATGTATCTTTTCAGAATCATGATACATAATTAACATCTGGTTATATACATTACTTCTTATTAGGGTATTTCATGATCTGGGCCCGTATTCATGAAACCATTCTCAGACTCAAGCATAGATTTTGTGCTCAAGCAAACATTTTTTATGATTCACCTAAATAATTTATAAAGATACAAATGCCAAATTTAAACCTAGAATAAAGCTTTGACTTGAAGTCCTTTCAAAATTGTTTTTAAATCTTCGGCCAAATAAGCATTATTTAAATTTTTTTAAGTTAAACAAGACATAAGACTTGAGCCCAAAATTCATGCTTGAGCATGAGAATGGTTTCATGAATAGAGGCCCAGATCATGAAATACCCTGATAAGAATTAATGTGTTATTTTTATTGTCTAGCGGTTTATTGCATCCTCGAAAATAGAACACTACGAAAAATACGAGATATGCAGTACTGCTTTTCGTGGCGGTTACATTTTCGTTGAATTCGTTGTCACTCTCCGTCTACGAATTTTTAAGTCCGGGAAAAGTTTACATTGGTCATTCTACTAGCAGACTTTGTGAGAAATATTTATCCACAAAATTAAATGCCAACGAAAATGTATTTTTTTGTAAAACTAGGAAATATGAGCCCAACGAAAATTTTACAGTATCGGAAGAGATCAAATTTTTATCAATATTTTCTTTTGTGTAGTATACTTTTGTTACTGTACATGTTTTGTGTAATGTCCTAATCAACACTTTTCTGTTATATCAATGATAAATAGACCGAGGAGAAAGGGGGATTCAATATGAAAAACAGTCACCATTTTAATATTTCTCAATGGGAATGTTGTCTGTTTGCTATTGTGTTCTGAGAATCTCATGCTTTCAAAACAATTACTGAATGACGCAATCGAAAAAGAACAACCTCATAATTCTGACGCTTTTCATAAAATGCGTGTTTGAATTGCCTGCCAGATATTTACCTATATTTTGTTACATGTGAATGTAAGTGATATTCCATATGAAATCATTTGATATGCTTAACATGTCGCATTCATGTCAATATGTAAAGTCTTCGCTACAAATATAGGTTTCTGTTTTTTTATAGGGGAGGATATTCCCTTGGCACTAGAAACAGCTCACATTCCAGCCGGTAACCTAGGTTACGGTTTAGCATGGGGATACATTGTAAACTACATGAAAACTGTACTTGGTGGTAAGTCTTGACTCATTTTACCAGATCTCCGTGTTAAGAAAATCCTAATACCAAGCTAATCAAATATAATTCTTCCAGGTGTAAAGCATCACATCGGAATATGCATTTTTTTTCTATTTTTTACCAATATCCAAAACCATCAATATAGTTAATTTGAGTTTAGTTCTCCTCCCAATTAACATTGATATTCCTTCTTTTCTTTGTGTTTTACTTCAATTAAGTAGCTGTAGACGTACAATCTTACTAAGTAAATTTTAAAGTGTGTTATCTCGGCTACACAGTTTTATGATTTCACACAAACTTTATAAAATGTACACTGTATAGTCTGCACTTCATTTTCACATTGTAGGCTCTAACATTTTTCAGAGGTGAAAATTGGTAGCCTGGTCGATCGTTGTTTTCTGCTAAAGAGACATTCATTGATCAACATTGAACTCCCTTTCTTGTTTATGATTCCTGTTGAGACCAAAATAAAAGAATGAAAGTTACATCGGTGTGCATAAGCTCGTCCATTCATGGTTATGATTACGTAGTTTCGTATAAACTCGTCCATTAATTGTTATGATTGGGTAGTTTCGTATAAACTCGTCCGTTTATTGTTGTGATTGCGTAGTTTCGTATAAACTCGTCCATTCATAGTTATGATTACGTAGTTTCGTATAAACTCGTCCGTTCATTGTTGTGATTGTGTAGTTTCGTATAAAGTCGTCCATTAATTGTTATGATTACGTACTTTGGTATAAACTCGTCCATTTTTGGTTATGATTATGTCGTTTCGTATAAACTCGTACATTCATTGCTATGATTGCGTAGTTTCGTATAAATTCGTCCATTCATTGTTATGATTACGTAGTTTCGTATAAACTCGTCCAATCTTAGTTTTGATGACGTAGTTTCGTATAAACTCGCCAATTCATGATTATGATTACCTAGTTTCGCAATCTGCCGAAAGTGTATTTGTATTTGTCGTTTATGTATACTGCAAATATGTATATTCTTCATTCCTCTTTTGGTTCATTTTTAATCATCATATTTTGGATCAGGAAATGAGGTGATTATTAATGAGGATGACAGAGCTCTCTTTTTAATTGAGACTAGCTTACTTTAATCACAAGAGGATTTTTTATGCGCACACACATCGTAAATTTCTTACTCAAAATCGACGTATCGTGAGCAAATAATAAAATGGAAACTTCATCTTCACAGAATTTGGTCAATACCTTCAAAAAGTTTTCGAGCTAGTGAAAGGAGAAGAGGTGAAAAAGACTTGTCCAGAGAAACTCTATGTGTTGATGCCGAGCAGCTGTAAATGTACTGGACTTATCAGTGATTCTTGGCCCTATGTTGGTCATTTCTGTTCATTTGCCAGGATAAAGGAGGATTTGGGTGGTGCGAACATTGTCAAGTCTTTAGACATATATTCTATCACAGACGACGACAACATACGACCACAGGTAAGTATTTAGAAAACATCACCTTTATGTGACCTTGTATCGTTATTGAAAGATGTTAATCTATACACACTGATGGCACTTCAGTTTTTTCGGTGACCTTTTGAAACGTCATGCATTTTGATCCTGCATCACTTAGATTAGGCATAGTTGATACATAAAATTGATTGCATGTATTTCTTGAAAGAGGCAACAACATAGATGTGACAGTTTGTGCTGCAGTGAATAACCCAGTTTAAAGAACAAATAGTAAAGATTTACAAATACTTTTAATTTCTGCCTTCTTTTGTCATCACGGACGAGTTACAGAAACAGCTGTGTGATGCCGTTGAATTCAGTAGTCGGCTGTACCTTTGCTCATTCTGCATTCAAATTGAAAGGCTCTCTTGTCTTTTATACAAGCCTTTTGGACAGATCTAGTGCATATAATTCTGACTACTCTTTTTTCTTATTATATTACAACAGACACGTAAGTGAATAGCACCTTTGAACACAAATTTTAAATTTAATATAATAGAACCAATTAATGGACTCAACTGATTCATGCAGCTGTTTCTTCCTTCTAAGACTCGTCAGTGGTGCTGAGGGCCGAAATGTTGAAACCAATAGGTCGATTAAAGAAAAACGAAAAATTGACCGAAAGAAAGAAATGTCAAAAGCGAGCTAGGGAGGTACACTAGTGCCATTTTTCAATAAATATTGTAATTTTCATATGCCTTTTAATTTCTGAAGAACGTCAAGTACATGTGTATATTCTTAGTAGTGCGATATTCGAATGACTTAAAAAGTGACATTGATAATTCATATTTGCTTATTCAGTATATAAAATATAAGTGATAATGTTTACATTTTTTATATTGCAGAAACATTACTTTATCGGACAATATCCAGCCCCTGTGTTATGTCTTTGGGAAATGAATGAATCTCGAATCGCAAGCATTACGGATCATACGATGGAGAGAGAGGCCGAACGTTTCAGACATACTTTCGAATGTTTGATGAAAGGAAAAGTCGGCAATGGGTTACATACAAAATGCGAAATCGTCCACTTTAATGGTAGGTTTCTCACGCCAAAATCAACAAGAAAATACCAACATGTCAACAGAATCATCATCCAAACTCAAATTCAATAACAAACAACAAGAAAATACCAACATGTCAACACAATCCTAATCCAAACTCAAATTTAATAAACCTGGCTCAAAATATGAACAAGAGAAAGATATAGACGGAGATTTCTGAAACTGTTCAAGGAATATCAGACCACGTGTTCCAGTAGAGTGTCTCCTGATTATTAAATATCGGACATTTGAACAAAATCTTTATCGGTTCTCAAAATCGACAGAATATGGCAAAACATGAACAAAGGGAGGATTTACAACATGAATAAAAAGAGTAATTGCCCCTGCTTAATATTACACAGTATGGTTAGTAACTTACTCTGACCACCATTGTTGTTTCAGACTCCGAACCAGAGGGTCTCCGAAAAAAGCTTGTGCCAATACTTAGAAGAGACAATGCAAGACGGTTACGGAATAGCTGATTGGTGCTGAATGGAATTTTAGCTGAGAATTTCCAAACGACAGTTGCAATTTTGAAAGAGGGAATGTTTGCATTTGTTAAGATTATTGTTTAGTACATCTTCTATAGATTTGTTTGTATATCGCTTATTAAGAACGTATCGAGAAGTGCATGGTAATGAAACGTTGATGATGATGATGATGATGATGATGATGATGATGATGATGATGATGATGATGGTAGATTAACAATGCATGATTTTCTACCCTGAGTAAAGATTCAGTCACGTTCGTTTACTAGAATTTTAATGCAATAGTAATAGTATTACTGTGAACAATATCTCACCTGCGTCTCTATTTTTGCAAACAGCATATTGGAAATATTTACTATATAGAAATGAAATAGATTAAGGAAATTTTCTAGGAATTTCAATAACAGTATATAAGACTTTAAATAATTTAATATAATCTAGACCATCTCAATAGCAATAATTGTTGTATATTCGACACACTTTAACAAATACCAGCTTATTTCTATATGTGATATTCACGTAAATCAACATTAAGATATCATGTGACAGGTGATATTGTATGTATTGCCAAACATACGTAGGTTACAAACATCAGCCACCATTTGGCACTTGTTGTGTATGATTGATAATGCCCCAAAGTCCCTCCTGTCATTCGGACCGCAGTGAATCATAAAACATACAGTAATGGCGTAGCTGGATTTTCAGTACTTCCCAGCTTCAAGCTGAATCTGGATTCTGACTGAGGACGAAAAACCTGTAATATGAGAGTCTACTCTACATATGTCACTCATTCGTTAATCTAGTAGATGGTAATACATACAAGTCCTCCTGTTTGTTTTTGTGAAGCCGTAATGATATAATCAAATGTTATTAGATAGAATGAGTCGTATCATGTATGTCATTATGTCGATATCAATCGTAAGAAGTAAGTGTGTGTTTACTTCTTCAATAAATCTTTGATAAAGAAATATTTTGGGAAATTGCAAACATGATGATGATGATGATGAGGATGATGATGATATGAAAATGACAATGGTTTTTTTTATTGACCATACAGATCGATGAATGATGATGATGATGATGATGATGTTTATTGATACATCAGTATCTGTAATCTAGGTGATGATGAGTGCAAGAGTGTTAGCTGATGTAATCCTATTGCTTTGTTCAATGTGCACAGATAAATGTCGGCACCTGTTAATACAGATAAATGTCGGCACCTGTAAATTACTCCTTTGTTAGGGAACACAACACGGCATATTTAACTGTTGTGTTCTTGCTGATCTCCGCCCTCTCAATTCAGTGATGTGATATTTGAGATTGTTTCAACTGCAATACAAAAGTAAAGTATTGTAAATAAAGATGATATGATGACGATGATAGGTTGATGAAGATAGGATGATGAAGATAGGATGATGAAGATAGGATGAAGATGAAAGGATGATGAAGATAGGATGAAGATAGGATGATGAAGATAGGATGAAGATAGGATGATGAAGATAGGATGAAGATGAAAGGATGATGAAGATAGGATGATGAAGATAGGATGAAGATAATAGGATGACGACGATAAGATGAAGACTGTAGATCGCTGCTAACCTTTTCACGCAGATCACTATCACTTTTTTGTTTTTGTTTTTGTTTTTTCATTATATTTTTGAATGAATAAAAAGTATGAAATAATGACGATTAAGAATTTTTTGACAATTGGCCTGATATAAACTCTACAGTATTATTACGACAAAAGATTCATATAAAAATACTTCTTTTAAAGAAAATACTTCGATTATTCCTATTTAATGTGTATATTGCTCAGAAACATGGAATGAGGAAAGGTCAACTGAAAGTAGAAATGAAAAAGATACAGGATTGATAGCATTAGTGTTGGTAAGGTATTGTGAATCCTCTATCAATCATAAACATAAACATTATAAACATAACTAATCTATCATGCTTTGTTTTTGTCTTTTTCTGTTTTTTGTTGTTTTTGTTTTGTTTTTTGCTTTTGTTTTTTACTTTTAATTTTTATTGTTGATGAGGAGGAACAGAATGCCTGATCGATTTACTTTTTTAAGACGCGGCCACAGACTCTCCAGTATCTCTGTCCCTATTGCGAAAATTTAGGCGTATGTTGACTGCGTAATACTTATTTGTAAATAACAAAAGTCTTTCCAATACACTGATATTGTGCTATCACAATTCTATTTTCTTTTAAAGGAAATATTTTATAGCTCATTACGTAAAGTATGTTATTTCGTTAACCCGAATCGGACGAAGAAGAACAGCAATTCGAAATTTGGTGAAACTGGGGCAAAACATTATCAAAAGAGAGATTTATAAGGAGACGCCAAATGATATACAATGGGAATAAGGTGTTATGATAACGTAAACGACGATACCTGGCATGCAAATCTTGGCTAATACACGATAGTAATGTCACGTTCCCTTTGTAAGAACAAGGGTAACAACAACGGAACTGCTACACTTGTAACTAAAGGAAGGTTTGTTGCTTAAACATGTCACTCTGCTCTAAAAGGCGGTGGTCGGGTGATTCAGTCTGTTAACAGTATGTACCGCTTTGCCTTAATTGTTTGTGGTGAGGGGGCTATTTGGTAACATTAGAAAGTATGTGTGCTAGTTGTTCATTAGTAATATTAAAAACAGATAGCAACATTGAGATTAGTCATTTTCTCCTGATTCTGGTATTTGCTTATTTTCTTATTAAATGCTGTAAAAAATACTAGTTTGTGAATGGATACACTATATGAATGGCCAACTTAAGCAATGTTCAAGATGATATCTCGTTCCGGTTGGTGTTAAGTGTTTAACAGATAAACTCTTACGATGCAAGATATTTTTTGTCAGGGCAGAGCAACCTTTACTTCATCATCGCGCCCTTGAGCAGCTCACGGTAAATGTATTACTGAAATTTTCCTTACCCAGACCAAAGACTCCCTTGAGCACATCATTGGTGACAGTGATATCCTTTTGTCCTTATTTCCTAAAAACTGTTACATTGTATTCACTTGAAAAATCGCCACCTTCGTTAAGGGATGGACAAACTACTTGCAAATGCTTTCGCGTCTGTCTCTCTATTTTGGTGGCATGGACCATAGCCGGTGTCTGCTCTAATTATTTCATTCGAAACACTAACTTGTTTTTGAGGAACGATAAGAGGGGAACTCGTCAAAGACTTCTGCGCTTTCTTTGAGATCTTTTAGTCTGAATTTGATGTATGTATGCGTAGAATCTTGAATAATTCCTACATTGGACTAACGCACCAAGAACGCTCCATTCCGGTTTCTAGAAAATGCTCAGAATACATAAAGGATGCAGACCTTTTTCGAGAATATCTGTTAATCTTTTTCCCAGCGAAGTAAAAGTGTGTCTTTCATTCAACACTTCTATGTTTCTCAACAGATTCTGATGAGTTTTTTGCTTTCTATGTAGTAACAGAAATACTTTTTAATACAACATATCGCACAAGTTATCCCGTGATATTACACAGGTTCTATATTCTCAATAGATTAGATAACGTTGAGTTTCTTTTTTTCCGGTCCGAAATCTATTGTGATGTCATGATATGTGACGTAGAGTTTGATTAATACACTGTATTGTGTTAACTCTTTTAAAAATCATTCATATGGATAAAACAAAACGGACATGTCATAGCGAACTATAAGATCGAAGTCAAAACGATTTTCTGTCATCTGGTAGAAAAAGCCACTCTGTATGGACTGCACTCTTAAATGCAGGAAGTTAAGGATTAAACTTCATTCATGAATCTATTTCATAGAATTTCCTGTGTATTTCATACAAAAAATGTTTAGCTAGTTCTATGTAGTAATATGCAAGTTTATTTGTGTATATGTAGGGCGCTACTTATCATAAACCTGCTGCTCACAAACCTTCATTCTTTTGATATCTAGATTTATTCATGAAGTACATAAGTGAATGTTTTCAAAGATTATTCATTTAGAAAATGTATCATTTATTTGCTATACAAGTATATATTGCCCCGAAACTGAATACGTACGTCAGCATGACCCTATTATAATGACATAGAAGGTTGGTTATTTGTTTTTGGCGCGGACATGATTAAAGTGTTGATACTTCCGTCCTTTTCATGGCCCTTTTCTACAGTGTTTCAGTCAACTGACAGTTTTAGTCCAATAGCTAAATACAAAGTATCAAGTTAATTCAAAACATATTGGGGATTACTTGATATTGGTCAGTTAATGTCCGCTTAATATCAAGTTAAATATTGATGTTGATATTTAGTGTGATGACTATATACCAATCCCTTAGTTAACACATCATCAGTTTAAAAAGACTGCAGTTGACATCACCACTTAAACACAACCACTCCCCCCTCCTCTCTTATAATTTAAAGACAAGATGCCATCAATATATCTAAAAGCGAAATTGAAGGACTTTACAAGGTATTTTTACCTATTTTCATAAGCTCTTTCATAACTTCAGCCTTGGATGGAAAAAAATAAAACAATTTAGCCAACTGAGGGGCGGGATTCATTCCCATATTCCCATACTTACACAAATATTTAGTTGGAAGATCTTACCACCAAATTCACAGAAGATATTGTGTATCATTTTCATTTCATTTTCCATTTATATTTTTTTATTTGAACATACCTCTCACAAAATACGCTGTATACAACTATATACTTGTAACGCCATTCACCTTTCTTTGAACTTTAAAACAAACCAGAGGAAAAATAAAATATTCTTAAATGTTCTATGTTAAAATTTGTTCAAATGCGCTCCTAAGTTTTTTTTATTTTTCAAAGTAACGACAAAGACACTACTCCCATTGGAAGTGTGGATTTTATTCTATTGCACATGTGTGAAATGATATGATATAAATGACATGTCATATATTAACATATAAAATATAGCTGACCAATGCAAACTTAGACTAGACTTCAAAATAAAACAGCCTGGTAATGAGTATAAGGTAGATGTTTTAAGCTACACTGTTTATGAAAAACTCTTAATATGCATGTGTGCTTTATGTCTTTTCCAGAAAAACTATTTTGTGCAATCGAACAATGCAAATAAGACGGTATGAAAAGAGGAAAATCTGTTATTTCTTATCCTAGCAATTGTTAATTGTAACTAAACATAAATAGATTATTTAGGAGTCTACCATTCCTTT